ACCTTCTCCTTCCGTTCCAACGCATCACACCGGCCGCGAGGTCTCTCTCATCCCATATTTTTGAAAAATATCTTTTTGGTTGTTAAATAGCGTTACATTTGCGATGGAATTCGATCTGACTTGGTCTATGGCTGTTTTTGTTTAAATAAATTGGTCGTTAATGAGAGAAATTGGATGTTTCAAATTGATATTTAATTGAGAAATGATTTACTTCGGAACAGGTAGCACATTGATTTTGTTGTTGTTGTTGTGTGAAAGGAGATTGCAGAATAATTTACAGTAGCTGTTGAGAATGAGGAAACTGTTTTTCATTTTAAATTTCTCTTTCTTTTAAAAATTTGGTACCAGAAGATAAGACCGTTTGGAAGATATATTTAAAGATTGATTGTTGATTGGGTTCTGTCTTATAGTAGAGACTCTATGATTATTTATATATTCGTATTCAATCTCTGCTAGAAATTCCCTTGGATAAATTTTAGGGTATTGAATTGTAAAATTGAATTTGATGTCAGCCTTCCACTCTTTATAGACTTGTTACCGCTATTTTAGATGACTAAGAAAATTATTATAGTTCTTAATGAGATATTTCAAAAACAGATGTTTTCAGCATGCTGGAATGTATAGGAATTGTGTGCTTATTCTTGTCCATGTACTCTTGTAGTGATGCACGGGTGTTATTTTCTAAATGTGCCTGACAAGCTTTGTTTTATCCAGACCTTTTACAAAGTTTTCCAGAGCTGGGCTTCAAAGAAGTTCATGAGCGGATGGTAAGCAACAGTCTTTTTCTTGTTTCTTAAGGTTTATTTACTCATGAGATATTTGTGCAATTATCATTTGTATGATATTTAATGATTTGCATATTCTATTCTTCTATTTAACTTCTCTTATGTCCTTGATCTTGAGTGAAAATGCTTTCACTAATGCAGTGAGCCTAAATCTTGGAATAAGAGATAAATGTAAATGACTAAATGCCTTGAAATAGTTTCCAAATTGTCGGTTTATTTTATACACAAAGTGTTTGGTGAAAAACAAGCGTTTCACTGGAACGATTGGGATGCAAATTGATAGTCTTTCCTTGCCATTATTTAATATAATAAGTTTCTTTGTTCACAATGCCCCCTTGGAAGAGTTATGTTGGAATCTTCATTTGAGAAGTGAAATTGGTGTGGCAGATTTAATTTTGTATCCAGCCCAATACCATTTAATTTTTCTTTGTTTCTTCTTTTTCTCGTAAATTTGGTTGGTTGTCTTGAAATTCTCTGCTACTTATCTTTCATCTTACAAAAAAAAAATAGTTATTGGCTTCTTGCCATCGTGGATTGGTGCTAATCAACTATTTGATGAACTCAGAAACTTCAAAGATTTGTTTCTAATACCGAATATATTCTTGTGGCATCGTCTTATCAAATCTATATTGTCATTCATGATTCTGTTATAGCAGCAGCTAATTCATAGATGTTTTGCAGTGCTATTCTGTTTCCTATTGCAATCACTTTCTACATAACATGGTGGTTTGTTCACTTTGTTGATGGTTTTTTCTCTCCAGTTTATGATCAACTTGGCATTGATGTATTTGGTGAGCATTTCACTTAGCAGCTAAAAATGTTTCTTTTGCCTTTCCCATCTAGACCTATGAACTTGATTCATGATTTGTTAATTCTCTCTTTTCCCCTTTCTTAAGGCTTCTGAATAATGAGGACAACTGTGCCCTACAAATTATTATTATTATTATTCTGAGAGATTGTGGAAATAACTGTGATAAGAGTGACAACTGTAAGAGCTTGGATGGTATTTTAAAAGACTGGAGGAATCCCTTTTTTTTGACATCTATCATTCTTTTTAGAAGTTTTCCATACGGCTACTGCCTGCATAATACTTATTAGCATGTTTCATATAAATTTATGTAAATCAGGCTGAATTGGAAATAAATATATATGCAGGACATTTTAGCATAGGAGAAATGCTTATTAGATTGTTGATTTACGATTTTAAATGTGAGATCTTACCAAATATGGTATTTACTGGAAGAAAGCTGAATTGTCTTTTCACAAGGTGGCCTTTGCAAATGATCTACCTTTGTGTTCTATATCTAAATATTGGTAGTCATTTTTTTAAGGTCTCATGTTTTCTCCTCCTTTTACTTCTGGATAGGTCTCGGATTTGTAACTTCTATCACATTCATCTTCTTGATTGGAATATTCATGTCCTCATGGTTGGGAGCATCTGTCCTGGGCCTTGGTGAGTGGTTTATCAAGCAGATGCCATTTGTTCGCCATATCTACAATGCCTCCAAGCAGATTAGTTCTGCTATTTCACCAGTTGTGTGTTCTGCTGGTTTTCTTCCTCATGAAATAAAATAGTTTAGTTAGTCATATTATTAAAGTTGGTTTAGGTAGAGACGATCTATATGCTACATCACTTTTATGTTTTACATCTTTATTGCAATTCAGATCAGAATACACAGGCCTTCAAGGAAGTAGCCATCATAAGGCATCCACGTCTTGGTGAATATGCATTTGGGTTCATCACTTCATCTGTTATTCTGCAGGTGAGCAAATGAAGTTTTTTGCTCCGAAGCTATTATTTTGTCACTACTTTCCTCTTTTTACTTATTTTCCTGTTTCATATTCATCATGCTTCACATGGATTGATTGGCATGCTGCCTGCAGAACTTCTCTGGTGAGGAAGAGCTATGCTGCTTCTATGTCCCCACGAATCATCTTTACAATGGTGATATATTCCTCATCAATACGAAGCATATTATCAGACCGAATCTATCAGTTCGTGTAGGAATCGGTGAGGGTTTCTCTTCTTTTGTTCGTCTATTATTTTACGGACGTTTCCCTTGCTATTACCGAGTAGTCTGTTGTGTTATAGGCCTCCCATTGTTTGGTGGAATTGGTTTGAAATTGCCACTTAGTGTGAGGCTGCGTTATTGATTTCTAAAGCAATGGTTTTGATATTGGAGTAGTAGTATGAAAAAGGGACGAACTTTTCCCTTCTCCAAATTAAGCTATAAATACCTCACTCCTTCTATTGCAGAAATCGTTGTGTCCGGGGGAATGTCAATGCCTCAGACCCTATCAACGTTAGATTCGCGATTGCCGCTGGAGAGAAGTAGGTCTGACATAAGCTGAGGTTTCATGTGGCAGTTGTAGAGTTTTTATTTATGGGTTTGAGATTGAAATCATCAGAGTGCCCCACGCAATCCATGTCTCAGTAATGCGGGATTCAGAATGAGATTGCAAATTTTTTATAAACTTAATGCCTAACTCAATTGATTCTCATTCGAGCTCTGTGGTTAAAAAAATTATAAATTCCTTTGGTTTGTGTTTGATACTTGTGGCTTATGTTATATATGGTTGCTGGTTTACAAAAGTAAATGTCACCCGTTTGCTTTCAAATATTGTTGGGTTAAAATTACGGCGAAGGTGCCTCCGGAGTAGGTACTTTATCTTGGTCTTTAAATTTTGTGTGTGTTTTTTTTCTTGGTTGTTGCCATTCCGATTTTAAGGCTTCATCTTGATTAATCCGGACCGACATGCGTTGCACACCTGAATTTGGTGGGTGAATCTTCTAACAAGGATTTTCTGCATACACAATGACTTGAGTTCGAAACCTCACTTGAGCGATATTAAGTGTCTTACCACTTAAACCAACCCATATTCGTATTTTTTTCTTACTTTTGAAATGACAAATTTTGTTTTGATTTATTAAAGAATTTTATATTTTAATTTTTTTTATCTTGAAGTCTCGGTATAAAGTTTACAAATTATCTAGGAATTATAGGTATTTTAAACGTGGAAGATATTTTATCTAAATATTAGTTATAGTTAGATATATTAAGGATTGGGTTATTCATTCATGTTTGATTTTTTTTATTAAAAATTTGAGAGGTTTTAGATAAAGGTAGGATAAAGTACGCAAATGGCCTATTGATTATAAGATATTGTTTTGTTAAGTCCATTGATTATAAGATATTGTTTTGTTAAGTCCATTGATTATTAAAAGTTACAAAATGATGTTTTGATTATAGGATGTTGTTTTGTTGAATTTCTCGACTATTAAAAATTATAAAATGGTCACTTGACTATTCACATCTACCAAACTTTTCATTTTCTATTAAAAAAATTGGTAGTCGTCTAAGTTGTACGTTAACCTATTAAAAAGGATATGATTAAATCTGATTCCAAAATAGTTTGAGTTGTATATATATATGAGTTTGAAGCATATGAATAGTCAAGTGACTATTTTATAAATTTTAATAATTGGAGATCAATAAAATAAGACCCTATAATCGGGGGACCGTTTGTATATTTTATCCATAAAACTATTAGGTTTGAAAAATGAGTTTAGAGAATAAAACTTAAACATGTTTAAAATGGAAATTGAGTTTGAATTTATTCTAGACTTAAATTTGGTTTGGTTTAATTTCTTTTTTATCTTTTAAGTTTATAATTTAATATAATATAACATTCTGGATGATGACGTTGGGGAATAGGATTTAGGAGAGCATTTTTAGAGTTTTAGGTTGGATCAAATTGATATAATTTTTAAACATTAAAAGTTTATTAAATTATTTTGAATTAGGATCAATTTGGTATAGCAAGTTTTGGTGATTAAAATTGATATTATACCATGTCAAATCATCATTTTGTTAAGGATGACCAAAATATAAAAAATACAACGTCAGATGTATATATATATATTAAAAATAATTGGGTAACAAAAATTAAAGAACAACAACAAATGAATGATGAAATAGGTAGTTTACATAAACATTTATATTACATTTTAAAACAAAAATCTAAGTTTTTGAACATAATATGAAGCTCTCATTTATGAAATACATAAGACGTCAAGGCAAAAATAATGTCGTGACAGCTGAATCCAGATGCCTGCTCCGTCAAACATGACGCTAACTTAGTCCAACCCAACAACCAGATTAACGGAATCACTGCCGACACTCGTCCCCGAACCTCTTAGCTTAAAGGGTCCCAAACCTCAGCTCCGAACCTAACCTTGGTAATAGTTGGTACATTTCTTCACTCTCTTGCCTGCCTGGGTCCTCCACAAGCTCAGCGTCTCTCAATTGAAAAGATCAGGATGCACACTAAATCCGATTCCGACTTAACAAGCTCAGTTGATCCGTCGTCTCCGAGATACCCCAAACGCCAACTTTATTACGTCCAAAGCCCTTCGAGGGACTCCCACGATGGCGAAAAGTCATCGTCCATGCAGGCAACGCCCGCTTACAGCAGCCCCATGGAGTCTCCTTCTCACCCTTCTTACAGCCGTCACTCCAGGGACTCGTCTGCCAGTCGTTTCTCGGGGACCCTCAAGAAAGGAAGGAAGAGAAACGAAAAGGGCTGGACTGAGTGTAACGTCATTGAAGAAGAGGAGGGGGACTACTTTTATGGGAAAGATAAAGGGTTCACGAGGAGGTGCCAGATTTTGATGGCCGTGTCTGGGTTCATCGCGGTTTTCAGTTTGTTTTGTTTGATCATCTGGGGTGCCAGCCGCCCTTACAAACCTCAAATTGTTGTTAAGGTTTGCTTTTTAGCTTTATTAAAATATGATACAACGTTCTTGTCGTTATATAGGTGAGAGTATTATTTAATTACCCTTTGATTCCTTTAGACATAAGATAACTCGAAAGAAGTAATATTAAAAAAATAGGGGTTTGGGATGGTTGTGTTATTTCTTAATTTCTGCAACACACATAGATTTGTCTTATGAGAGAGTGTCTTGTTTTGCAGAGCTTGACAGTCCATAATTTCTATTTTGGAGAGGGAGCCGACATGACAGGAGTTCCAAGCAAGATGCTTTCAATCAACTGTTCAGTAAGGATGACACTATACAATCCTGCAACTTTCTTTGGTATTCATGTTAGTTCCAATCTTGTCAACCTAATGTACTCAGAAATCACGGTTGCCACTGGTCAGGTAACATTTTCTTAGACGTTTTTCTCGACAATAACAAAAACGTTTTGGCATTATGATCTTATATTTGTATTTGCAGATGAAGAAGTACTATCAGCCAAGAAAGAGTCATCGAACTGTGGCCCTGACTCTCCATGGGGACAAGGTTCCTTTGTATGGGGCAGGGGCAAGCTTAGCAGTCTCAAATGATGCAAGTGGAGTTCCAATGAAGTTGGTTTTTGAAGTTCGGGCCAGAGGGAATGTGGTGGGGAAGTTGGTGAAGTCGAGGCATCGGAAACATATCTCTTGTTCTTTGGTTATCGACTCTCACAGTAGCAAGCCTCTCAAGATGAAAAGCAGTTCATGCCAATACGACTGAGATGAAAATGGTGGGGTTCGGGTGTTTTTTAAGTTATTTTCAAACTTTCGATCGATCAGAAAGTGTGGAAGTAATAATCGTTTAGAAAACAGTATAATCAGTTTGGAGAAATAGGAAGTGGTCTATCATCTTGATGTAGATTATATCTTGCGATCATTAATAAGACAAGTTTTTGGTTCATGTATCTGTTGTTGTTCTGCACTACAAGAGTAGTTCTCCGTACAAATTCAAAATTTCTAAACAAAACGAGAAACAAGGAGAACTGACAGATGATCAGTCAATTATTTCAAGTATTTTGAATGTAATTCAACTTGAAATGGAACCATAGAACATTAGTTGCAGTAATCATTAATAGGGTCAATCTACATACATGACGGGGGAAAACGACCTATCTTACAAGAATAGCTTTTCTACTGAAAAATGATAGCAATGTTGAAATTTTAAGAACTCATAATGAGCAATCAAAGGAAATGAGTCAAATAACGTAAAAATTATAAGATCAGTAAGGCTGAATACATCTATTCAGGTGCTTTGACACTCTCCTCCTGCTTGTCAATGGCACAGCCACGCTCAAGTACGGTGCCACCTATCCTTTTTGGGGGCCAATAACGAAATACTGATCTTCCTATGATATTCTTGGCTGGGAGGGGACCCCTGAACGAAACAAAATACGAGGAATCAACAAAAAGGAATAGGAGGGAAACCTGCTGATTTGAAGGATCAACCTGGTTGAGCATCATATCTTACCAAACGTGGGAATCATAGCTATTATTACGATTGTCACCCATCACAAAGACGGAATTTTCGGGTACTTGCTGCAACATGAATAGCAAGTATACAATCAGAAACAGATTGGCACAGCTTTATGATGAAGGAAACTACAAGTTTGCACACCTTGTGAATTATTTTGGCTTTAACTCAAGACCTTGGTTTAACCTCTACTTCACTGGAAAAGTTTATGTAAAGCACAATTGTCTCATGCAAGCAAATCTTATCTTAAATGAGGGACAAATTATTGTAGTACATAACTTGAGATTCATTTTCTGCTCAAAGGCTAGTAGGCTACCCTACTCATCTAGGCTTTGGCCAATGGAATTAAAAATAGAAATTAAAAGATTTTAAATTTTAGATATGGACACGTACAATTGGTGTCATTTCATAGGAAGGTGCTTCGTCGATGAACTCTTCATTTCGTACAACCCCATTAACAATAAGCTTTCCATTATGAACCTGCATCGGAACAAATTTTAAGAATTCATTCTAATGAAACCCCAAAGTATAAATGATAATACATCAAAACAAAAGAAAGAATAATAACATCTAGGTAATTGTAAAAACAATGGCCTACTTTACTTGGACACGGGGGTGTGTGTGTCAAACACAAGTATATTCAAGTTTTCCAGAGGGTTCTTCAAGGATCAAATTTCCATACCTAGGTCCGAATATGCATCAGACACAGGTACTTCAATAAAAATGAAGTGTTAGAGAAACAAAGGAAGTGTGGCACCTTACTTGTAACTAAGAAAAAAAAAAGATATCCCTGTGCATAGTATGTAGGAGGCCAACAGAAATGACAGGTATTTTGCAAAAATATCTATTTATTCTAACATTTTCCTGGGTTCTACTGATTCAACATCACAGCATGCAACATTAATATGCAGTAATAATTTTCTCAATATGATGAGAAACAGAAACAGCCAGCTTATCAGAAGGGGAAATACAAATGCTTAGAAATTGTCAGGGTAACCTCACCTCCACAGTATCACCTTCCTTAGCTACTATTCGTTTAATGAAGACATCGTCATCGGTGTATCCTACTTCCTGAAGAACTGGCGGGCTTTTGAAGATGACAATGTCATTAGCACAAGGCTTCCTAAAGTAGTACGAAACCTGAAAATTTCAAATTTTTAAAACTGTCAAGATATATGTAAGAATTAAACAACTTGTTCACTTATTGATGCATTTCTAAAACAAAATAAGATTTGATCCCCCTTCTTTATGGTTCTAGGTAAATCCTATGCAAGATTGCAAGCATATCCTTCCGGCCATAGTTTATAAGGCTAGCGACGACTAAGTGACTAAGATATCATAGTTTTTCTATTTAGTTCTTTAGGCTCAAGAGATCATTTCAGTTTTCATTTTCAAATATCAGCATTACCAGGAAAAACCATTAAAGGAAAAGCTTAAGGGAATGTTCCAGTAACGACAATCTAAAAACAAATACTACAAGAAAATCTGTTTCATAAATCACTGAAGCTCACAAAGCAAAAATTCTTCTTCCTAAGCAATACCAGGCATCAAGAATGTTTAGTTAGAACCTGTCATTTCTTAACCTTCACTGAAAGTTAAAAATGCATGTAAATCTTAACACTAATGTTTCAAACTATTCAACTAAGATGAAGCTTTTACCATGAAACTTTAAACATTAAAACGCCATTCCTAAAAAAAACATAAAGATAAACACAAACATCAAACAATCAATAGCATGTAATCAGTCTTTCCACTAGAAACTTTGTACCAACTATCAAACAAATAATAACTACCTTCTCGGCAACAATTCGATCCCCAACATCAAACGTAGGATACATCGACAACGAAGGAATGTACCTCGGCTCAGCCACGAATGACCGGAAAGCAAGCGATATCACGACAGCAGCAAGAACCGTTTTTGCATCATCAGGAGTAACATTCAACCATTCAGGTAATGACCCACTTTTCTTCTCTACCTCTCCATCGTCTCCATCACCGCCGCCACCTCCATCGCCACCAGAGTCGACCACTTTTTCGGTATCCTCAGATTCTTTAACCCCATAACGCTGGAGTCTTTGAAATTGGTTCCTTGGACCTGAAGTTTTCGCGGTTTCTATCTTGAACCCCAAAAAGTTTAAACTTTTAGAGGGAAATGAAGAATGGGCATGGATTAAAAGGCGGGGTTTTGAAGTTTGGCGGAGATTGAGGGATTTTAGGTAGGGACTCGGGGTGTAATTATAGTTTCTGATGGGTTTGGAAAGTTGGATTGAATTGGGATTAGGGTTTTGAAAGGAAAGCGATGAAGGCAAAGAGTGTAGAGACATCACTATCTCTACTCAAAGAAGGTAAGGGAATAGCTTTGTTGGGGATTGATTGAAATATACTGAGAGTGAGAAATCTCGACTTTTGATTATATACCAATCTTGTTCACTGAGAACAAGAAAAGAATTAATCTAATATCACTTCTAAATTAATTAATTAGTGAATTAGATATTGATGACTATATATATATATATATAATTGGATTCATTCTTATATCATTAAGGACAATTCTTTTCGGGGACCTCTCTGTTGTGTAATTCGGGTTAATTTCCACCAATAACAGATTCACCTTGAAAACTATTATCTAGGTGACTAGTGTGAAAACGAGTGTACTAAAAATCACTCCAAGGTAGATTCCCAAGAAAGAGGAGGGGTCACAATGGTCCCTCTTAAAACCCACTTTCCTTAGACAGAACTACCAAGACAAATAATTTTAATAGGACAATAATTAACAACTATACCCGACAATAGCTATTAAATAGACATAAAAGAGAACACCAAAATATTTCACTAATAAAGGAAATATTACAAAGAGAGAAATAATACAAATAGCCTTTAAAATAGAAGAATGTTTATATTTGTGGGATGATTAACTAAGAAGGAGGAGGACTTTATTTATAACAAAAGAATTTCCCCTCCTCCTTATACACAACCAATATGGGACTTTTGCCAAAAACCAACAAATCTCCACCTTGGCAAATTCCACACACATCTCTAAAAAAAACAATCTTTTAATTTGTAACAATATTGACCAAGTCTAAACAATGTTTAAACTTGACTGTAGTTACCACTTTTGTCAACATATCAGCAGGATTCTCAGTGGTCCGAATCTTCTGGATTATGACTCCACTTTCTTCTAGAATCTCTCGTACAAAGTGATATCGAACATCGATGTGCTTCGTCCTTGTTCGATATCACTTTGTCCTTGCATGGTAAACCTAGTTCTTTGCTAAATGAATAGCACTCTGACTGTCACAGTGCACTTTGATGTGCTTTTGTTCCATTCCCAATTCACCAAACAACCCTTGAAGCCAAATTGCCTCATTCACAGCCTCTGTAACTGCCATATACTCTGCCTCTGTAGTAGACAAAGCCACTGTTGACTGTAAAGTGGACTTCCAACTGACTGGTGCCTTTGCAAATGTAAACACATAACCAGTAGTTGATCGACGCTTGTCCAAATCACCTGCATAGTCTGAATCACAATACCCAACTACACACTGACCATCTTGTTTGTCCTGCTGAAAGACCAAACCAACATCTACGGTGTTCAGAATATACCGCAGAATCCATTTCACAACTTGCCAATGCTCCTTTCCAGGATCATGCATATACATGCTCACAACCTCAATTGCCTGTGAAATATCGGGTCTCGTACACACCATTGCATACATCAAGCTACCAACAGCACTTGCATACGGAACCTTTGACATGTATTCTCGTTCTGCATCATCCTTAGGTGACATGGATACACCGAGCTTGAAATGAGGAGCAAGAGGTGTACTAACTGGTTTTGACATCTCATTTATGCCAAAACGTTTTAGTACCTTCCTCAGATATTCTTTCTGAGACAAATAAAGCCTCCCCAATTTTTTATCTCTTGATATCTCCATGCCTAGAATCTTCTTCGCTTCACCAAGATCCTTCATCTCAAACTCCCTGTTCAATTGAGTCTTTAGTTTCGCAATTTCTGTCTGACTCCTGGAAGCTATCAGCATATCATCAACATAAAGAAGAAGATATATATAGGATCCGTCTTCTAGCTCGCGTAAATACACACAATGATCATATTTGCTTCTTGTGTACTTCTGCCCTATCATAAACTTGTCAAATCGCTTGTACCACTGCCTTGGAGATTGCTTCAATCCGTACAACGATTTTTCTAATTTGCACACCATCTCTTCTTTTTCAGCAACTTTGAATCCATCTGGCTGAGTCATGTAGATTTCCTCATCCAAGTCTCCATGTAAAAATGCAGTTTTTACATCCATCTGAACTAGTTCCAAATCCAACTGCGCTACCAAAGCCAACAAAATTCTGACGGAGGAATGTTTTACAACTGGAGAAAATACTTCATTATAATCAACTCCCTCCGTTTGAGTGTAGCCTTTAGCCACCAATCTTGCTTTGTAGCGGATGTTATTCTTGTCAGGAAATCCATATTTCTTTGCATATACCCACTTGCACCCAATTGCCTTCTTTCCCTTCGGAAGACTAGCTAGTTTCCACGTCTGATTCTTTTGAAGGGATTGCATTTCTTCATTCATGGCGATCCTCCACTTTTTATGTTCTGAACTTTGAATTGCTTCATTAAAAGTGGAAGGAACGTCATCAATTGCAATTGGTGATGCAAAAGAGACCATATCAGCATAACGAGCAGGTTGTCTAATGGTTCTATTTCCTTTTCTGAGTGCAATTGATTCATGTTATTGTGGAGGTTCTTGGGTCTGAACCTCTTCTTCATATGACTCTTCTTCTACCATAGGAGAGTCAACATCAGTTTCTTTACTGGTTGGGACAAATTTGCTTCCTTCAAACTCCACCTGTTTGGGAGTTCCATCTGTCTGCTCTAATTTTTCTGAAGTCACCTTTCTCAACATGGTAGATTCATCAAAGGTAACATCCCTGCTGAAGATTATTTTCTTTGTTTCTGGACACCAAAGACGATAGCCTTTCACACCAGAGGTGATCCCCATAAAGATCGCCTTCTTTGCTCTTGGATCCAGCTTTGACTCCTTAACATGGTAGTATGCAGTGGAACCAAACACATGTAAGGAATCATAATCTGTAGCAGGTACTCCAAACCATTTCTCTAATGGTGTTTTACCACCAATAGCAGTCGATGGTAAGCGGTTGACAAGGTGACAAGCATAGACCAAAGCCTCAGCCCAAAATTCTTTGCCTAACCCAGCAATAGACAACATACACCGAACCTTCTCCACTAATGTCCGGTTCATACGCTCTGCCACCCCATTCTGTTGTGGTGTACCTCTGACAGTGAAGTGCCTAACAATACCTTCCTCTTCACAGACTTTCAGAAATGGATCATTTTTGTACTCTCCACCATTGTCTGTACGGAGACGTTTGATTTTTTTGCCTGTTTGAGTCTCCATCATCTTTTTCCATTTAAGGAAAAATCCTAGCACCTCATCCTTTGTCTTCATTGGATACACCCAAACTCTCCGGGAAAAATCATCAACAAAGGTGACATAATAGTGTGTTCCTCCCAATGAAGTTGTCTTGGAAGGCCCCCATACATCTAAATGAACATAATCCAAAATACCTTTAGTATCATGGATTGTTGTTCCAAATTTCACCCTCGTCTTCTTCCCTTTGATGCAATGCTCACAAAAAGCTAATTTGCAAGCCCGAGCACCCTTCAATAATTCTTGATCTATCAGTAATTTCAAGGATTTTTCACCAACATGCCCCAAGCGCATATGCCATAACCTGGTTGCTTCTGACTCCTGTTCATCAGTAGAAGCTGCCACTGCTGCTGTCCCAACAATTGTACTACCCAGAAAGTAATACACATTGTTTCTTTTTCGGATTCCCTTCATTATCACCAGTGCACCAGAGATAATCCTCATAATCCCATCTTTTGCCCTCACTTCTAAACCTTTTGACTCTAAGGTTCCCACAGAGATGAGATTTCTCATTAAATCTGGTACATAATGGATACCTGTTAAGGTTTTGATTGATCCATCCTGATTCCTCAAGCGAATTGAACCAATCCCAAGTGTGTCAAGAGGGGAATTATTTACTGTGTAGACAATTCCACTTTTTAGTTTTTTAAAATCAAAGAACCATTCTCTATTGGGGGTCATATGGTGGCTACAAGCTGAATCTAACAGCCATGAACTGGAACAGCTGGTTGATGGCGTAGCAGCGAATGCAAAATCTGAATCTCCATCATCATACTCGACCACATTTGATTCTGAGACAGCCTTCCCCCTTTCAGGTTTGCCTTTATTCTTTAGCCTGGGACATTCTTTCTTCCAGTGCCCTTTTTCTCGACAAAAGGCACATTCATCTTTGCTCAATCTGGACTTTGACTTCGATCTCCCTCTGCTTCCTTTATTCTGACTCTTGGAACGACCTCTAACAACAAGAGTTTCTGCTTCGACACTTGTGTTTTCTTGTTTGTCTTTCTTTCTCAATTCATAACTATACAAGGCAGCAGTTACTTCACTGAGAGACACATCAACCTTCCCATGAAGTATAGTAGTTTCAAGATACTCAAACTCACCAGGAAGTGATCCCATCAACATCAGAGCCAGATCTTCGTCTTCAAAAGTCACATCCATATTCATCAGATCAGTCATCAGCTGATTAAAGCTAGTAATGTGATCATTCATAGTGGTACCTGGTACATAGTTGAAGCGGAACAATCTCTTTTTCATGTAGAGTTTGTTCTGACCGCTTTTCTTCAAAAATTTCTCCTCCAGTGCCTTCCACAATTTACTTGCAGAAGTTTTCTTAGAAAATGCATACTTCTGCTTTCTAGAAAGACACGATCGAATAGTACCACATGTCATTCTATTGATCCTCTTCCATTATTTCTCCTCAACATCATCTGGTTTCTCTCCTTCAATAGCAATGTCTAGACCCTGCTGAAATAAGACATCTAGAACCTCGCTTTACCACATGCCGAAATGACCGGTGCCATAAAAAATCTCCACTGCAAATCTAACATTTGTCATAGCATTTCTTGCCAAAATTGAAGATGAAGAAGTGTCTGCCATTTTTGCTACAAATTCTATTTAATAGCTGCCAATGCGGAATGTCAATTATCCCAAGGAAATTTTTCTGATGTGAAAGATCAGCCTAAGCCGCAACCACAGAGCATACTAAAATAAACCAAGAGCTCTGATACCAATTGTTGTGTAATTCGGGTTAATTTCCACCAATAACAGATTCACCTTGAAAACTATTATCTAGGTGACTAGTGTGAAAACGATTGTACTAAAAATCACCCTAAGGTAGATTCCCAGGAAAGAGGAGGGGTCACAATGGTCCCTCTTAAAACCCACTTTTCTTAGACAGAACTACCAAAACAAGTAATTTTAATAGGACAATAATTAACAACTATACCCGACAATAGCTATTAAATAGACATAAAAGAGAACACCAAAATATTTCACTAATAGAGGAAATATTACAAAGAGAGAAAGAATACAAATAACCTTTAAAATAGAAGAAGGCTTATATTTGTGGGATGATTAACTAAGGAGGAGGAGGGCTTTATTTATAACAAAAGAATTTCCCCTCCTCCTTATACACAACCAATGTTGGACTTTTGCCAAAAACCAGCACTCTTTTGTCCTCAACAGTACAGTTAGACTTGGAGGATATTGTTGCACCTTAGGGGCAAGGCAACTTCTGTGTAGGGTTTATTAACTCTGTTTTCGATTTCCATGAGTTGGAAGGAGATTCGGAGTAAGAAGGAAAAAGTTCCTTGGGAGCGTCTTGTTTAGCATTCGGGATACATCCCAAAAAATTCTCTTATTGCTTGGATGTCTGTGTTGGATTAGGTTGCGAACAGACTCATTTCGTTTGGCCTTGCCATTGAGGGTGGTTGCAGCTTATGTTCGATAGTAGAGAAGACTAGGGGCTATTTATTCTTTGAATGCGAGGTTTCTCGCTTGGTTTGACAGGATTTTCTTATCCTTTGTCAAGTTGATAGGCCGATTATGGACTGGACGAGTGAACTTCGATGGGCGTATAGTAGGCTAAAGGGTAAGTCTCTTTGCACCTGGGTGATGAAGCTGGCATGGAACTGCCATGTTGCAGAGATTTGGAAGGTGAGAAACCAGAAGCTCTTTGCTGGGAAAGTAAGTACTGTCCCTGAAATTTTTGGTCGAAAAGAAATGGTTAAGCCGAAATTATGGGGTAAACAGATTAATGTGAAACGTGAGGTTTATATAGCCTGGCAGTTAGTATAGTTGGTTGTTTTTCTTTTGCTCCTTTTGAGTTTTTAGCTGTTTTTTGCTGTATATATATAATTTGTATATAAATTTTCTTTTTAAATGTATCTTTAATATATTATAAAAACAAATTTAAAAACCACTGAATACTTTGATAATCGAATATCATTCATTTCAAGTAGAAATGGCATAGAATTGAAAGGTAGAAGGTAGACCAGAGATTTTATTATGTATTGAAAAGCCCAAATGCATGATCTATGTTTCAATTATCTAATAATATAGAAAAAGCCTTTGGACAATACTTCCTTTATCGAGACATTCTCGCTAACTAATAATGTCATCGTCAAAAAATGATGAATAAAACCAGAAAACTTTCCTTCTTGCATTGTTTTATCTTTCCTCTTTTTGTCTTTCTTGTTATTGTCGTCAAAAAATGTCGAGGATATGGAAATGGTACGAGAGATGCTTGTCTATTCATCCTGTGAAAACACAAGTTGTCAGCTCAGGTGTCCTATGGGAAATTGGTGATGTTGGGGCTCAATACATCACCTATTCCACCGCAAAGAAACGTCTCCGATGTCGAGTAAGCACCCGATTCCCTGCAACCCCCCTCCTTTTTCATTCTTTCATGTTGTTCAACGCACAATTTTTTTATGTTTTCGTTTGGTAGGACGCAGAGCAAGAATGTAAAATTGATTGGAAAAGGGCAGCTGCCACAAGTTTATTTGGATTTGGCTTTACCAGTTGGACACTACTGGTTCGTGTTTTGTTTTTGTTTTTCTTGAGATATGTAATAATGAATCAAAATCATGCGAGGGTTATTATGGTTTGAACTATTATTACATTGCTACTTAGGAACAAGAAAAGTATGCTCCTTGGTGCTTACAACCTCTGTTTCCTTTTGTACGTTCAGGTATTAAGGGTTGGACAGATTTATAAAGTTGAAGTTTCAATTACGACCAAAGACGGCTAAGTTTGTTGCTGCCAAAGTAGCCATGGATAGAATTCTCTTTAGCCCCTTTGACTTGTTCTTATTTTTCTCCTACATGGGGCTTTCCACCGGTAAAAGCGTTCCTCAAGTGAAGGAAGAGGTGAAGAGAGACTTTCTTCCGGCCTTGATATTGGAGGGCGGTATATGGCCGATTGTTCAGATTGTGAATTTCCGATACATTCCCGTGAAATATCAGCTCCTTTGTGTTAACATCTTCTGCTTGTTAGACTGTGCCTTTTTGTCATGGATCGAACACCAGAATAATGCTCCATGGAAAAGTCGGTTCGGGGGAAGCCAAGGCAGATGGTGATCTTTCTGCCTCATTTTTTGTGTTTCCATGGATTTCTCTTCTACTACTCATGTTCTTAAGTGTTCTTCCCCATAGCCTTGTGCTGCTAGAAAGAATTAAACGAAACAACCCCTAAAATGCCAACTAGGGTTTTAGATGTTGGGATTTTGGGAGGGATTCATCTTTGTTAAAGCTTTCTACATTCAATCAAAACGTAAAAACAATACAATTATATGCATGTACAAACTTTGTCAAAATTCATATAGAAATTTACATACCTACAAAACCAATGTAATAAATTTAGACAGGCATATGGGAACCATTGTCTATATAACAGCAAGTTAAAAGTTTAAGCAACAGGGCTGCTATGAATGATAACGGTACCGATATGACCGTGGTTTGGTGTTGATCGGTATATACAATAACGGAAGCTTAAAACTTAAACATTATATTAAACATAAGCAAGTATATGTAAACGGTTAGTCGAGTTGTTTATCTTTTTTCTTTTATTTTCTCTTAAATCATGGATTTTACACCCACTAGGAGCAAATTGTGAGAGGAGCAAAGCAACCACGGAATGGGTGGTTTAGAGTTTAGAATGGTATGATATGTGAGTTGCATAATCACAGGCATCAAACTTGACTCGTATATGAATGTAGTCTCTGATGGTAAAGTCTCAGGTGCCGGGTAATGTGCTGCTGCTGCTAGAAAGGATGATGAAAGCACAAACAACTGAAAGTGAGAACACTGACAGCCAAGTGTTTTGTGTGTATATTTCCATTGCATCTGTAAATGGGAACCGAGTACGGTCTTCAGCCCAGTTCCTGATTCGGTCTGCCTCTGCCGCATATAGTGCCCTACCCTGAACATACATTCTTGCATTAGAATCAAAATTAGCTGCAGTAGACTATTTTGTCATAACGCTGGAATGTAGCTTCTACAAATGTTTTCCTCAGATAATGAAGATTACCTCTTCATCGAACCAGCGACCTTGTCGAAGCCAGGCAGTTATTAAAGCCAATAGTATCCGAGGTGGGGTCAAGTAGTTGATGGCCTTTCCTGTTCCCTTCACAACCCGCATTCGTGGAACTAGACGTCTAGCAACGGTCTCGGGAAGCTCACAAATGATGTTAAACATTTGTTTGTTCTTTAAGGTTGAGCCATTGCAAAGAAGCAAAACAAATATTTGACAAACACATTTATCAAATACTAGTCCCAAATTACGAATTGGATCCTCCATGTTGCAACCTCTCAAGATTATGGGCTGAGAAAGCCGATTAACGTGCATAAAAGAGGCTGCCTCACCAAAGTTGAGACGTAGCCAACATACCTTAAGAGTAGATCTGTAAGGACCATGCCCGGAGATGCCGTATGGATTCCTACTTTAAAACGTTTGCAATCCTTCAAAAGTGATGCATTAAGCTGTCTAAGACCACACTTGGTTGACCCATATCTAGAAAAGAGAGCAGACATCAGCATTAACCATTGAAAACTTCAAAACATTACAGAAATTTGAGATATGTCGATAAGTAGCCGCCTTGAGAAAAAGAACCAAGTGTAGTGACAAATGATGAGAACCTACACAGCGGTCAAAGGAGTGCTAGATCCACCAGAATCTGCACCATCCATGTTAAATATGTGTCGCCCCTTGGGCTGGTTTTCCATGATACGCATGGCTTCCCGAGTGCAGAGAATAGAACCGACAAGATTCGTTGAAACAATCTATCCACATAAATCAGCTAGTCAGAGACAACACACTGTCATCTTGTTAACCATAAACTAAAAGCCATTTCAGCCACTATATATCTGAGTTTATGCATATGAATTAAATGTCTGTGTTACATCAACTAGTTACATGCAGAAGCTATAAGGCAATGATAAATGTAAGGAACTGATAATTCAATATCCTAATTCCTATATAGTATGAAGCTTACAAGTTTGTAATAAGATTATGTGTCATTGAAATGCTAAAAGGTGGAATTGCTCAAATAACACATTTAACAAACAAAGATACATGTTTAATATCTTCATCACTGAACTGTAGTAATGGTCTAAAACCTTTGTTAGTGCCAGCGTTATTTATCTGTAGATGAAACAAGAAATCAGAATCACACATTTAGCACACAAGTAAATGCTCTTTGTCCAACCCCAACAAATAGGAACTACATGGCAGCTACTCAGACACACAACAATTGCATTAGACATCATCAAATCGTCTCATGTCATGCAAAATTATCATAAGCACAACATTAATAAAATATGCTCACCCAAATGTCAACAGAACCAAGTTCGGTGATGGCAAAGTTGGCCAATTTTTCGACATCAGCGGCTTCACAAACATCACATGCTATGCCAACCACTTTTTCTTGTACCAGATTCTTGCTAGATGAGCCACCAGCGACCATACCTTCCTTCAGGTTCTCCTCGAGTTCTTTGACAGTTGTATCAACAGATTCAGGACTGTCTTGACAAGATCCAAGAAGGAAAAGTTGGTGCGAGAACTATACCGATAAAAATAAAAATAACTCGACATAAAAATGTCATAAACTAGCTTAATTATGACTTTGAACTCGACCTGCGAGAAGCAGCAACAACACGATCTCCTGAAAGAAGAAATTCTCGAGCAAGAGCTTTTCCCAATCCCCTTGTGCTAAATCAGGTCAGCCAAAAACACAACCAAAACCCGACAAAATGGATAAGTTCTCTGCATCATCGATCCATTAGCAACATATCTCCTAAAAGTTCGTTTCTAAGTAACTAATTATGATTTGGCATAGCCAGTAAAGATACTAAATTCAAATATGATGAGGAAATTGTATATCATACCTTCCAGTTATAACAACATTTCTCGGACCAGCTCGACAGTGTTCATCTAGAACCATATCAGCTCCAATCATGGTTCCAATGATAATCCCTCCCACCCAGCTGTACCAAATCAATGCATTCATCTTATTGTCTCCACCTGTGGAAAAAAAATGAACTTTCAGAGACAGGTCATTCCTTGAAGAAAGGCAGAGAAAATCAATTCAAAAATCTAAAAGTACAGTGGCTCTAACCTGACAACTGAAAACCAGTAAAGAGAATCACTCCGGTGCTCATCATGGTCACAATATATCTTCCTAGTTGCATAGCAATCTGGTTTATGAGGGAGAAAAGCTCAACGGTTATATCCACTTTTGACTGACTGGGTAACTCATATCAATCAATGGTAGACAGACACTCAGCAAACATGCATGCATGAACTCAATTATGAAGATAATTATAGAACATAATTAAAAATAATTGAACATGAATAATAAAAAAAGAAGAGAAATTCATTTAATAAAATACGGTTTATAATTACATAAAGCTCACCGAGGAGAAAACTTCATCAACTTTAGCCACGGCATTTTCATATTCATCTTGCGATTGAGAGCCAAATTTACTAACCCCGAAACAGCAGATTTCAAAGATTTCCAAAACCAATCTCCCTTTTGCAGCTTCACTTCATTTTCCATAAAAATCCCAAGCTTCCTCTCACTTTCCATCTCTTTCTCTTCCACTCCCCCGCCATCTTCTCCCCTAAACTACCGACACTTTTGTGCGTACGCGCCTCCATGACGGCTTCTAGTTGGACTGGGCAACCTTACAAAACAACCACGTTTAACTTTAAGCCAGCTGTTCCGTTGTTGTTCCTTGAAACAGAACTGTTGGTATTTCTGGAAAGAGAACAACTGAAGCTTTGTCACAGGCGCCATTTCTGCAAGAGATTCGAACTAAAAGAAATTGAATGTCTCGATTCCAACTTTACTGGAACACGAGGATAGAAAAGATATTTTCTTTTCTCATTATTAATACATCAAATCCTTTTACTTTATGTAATAAACAAATAAACATCGGGGAGAGAGTTGAAGCGAATCGTCTAACGTGGAGGAATGTGATGACCACACGTTAATCTGCTGCACTTTTGGACGAAACGTGGCGTTGTGGGGCGGTGTTTGCCTGTCGTTCTCCAAATATGTTAGGTAGCCATGGAAAGAGGAAGGTGACGCTTCTACGCCTTGTGTCTTAGGCTTTTGGTTTTGGGCACTTAACTCAGCACGTTGAATATTACGTATTACGTACTCCAAATAGTAACCAATCAACTGGAACTGGGATTACTCTTGGTTTTATCGGTGGGATAACTACGAAAATTAACACGATGGACCAAAGCAACCAAGTTTCTCTATCCGTTAGCCATTGATTTTTACATGTGATAACGGTGACTGTCAACTTTATCCCTAAGGAATAATCAAATACCGAATTCTCAAGCTCAAAGGGGAAAGAAGAAGAAGAAGCAAAAGCCTAGTTCTGCACGTGGAAGAGGATTTTATCAAACTTAAAGGCCTAACTTTGTCTTGATGTAACCATACGTTATCATGGTAGAATGTTTTAGGCCGATAATAACAAGAACATGAAATTTTCCTTTTCGGTAGAAACTAGAATGTTAAAGTTTTAGTACTTATTTACTTATTTAGTATTTATTTAGTACTTAAACTATTAGATTTTGTTCGTTTTAGTATTTAAACTTTTAATTTATTCAAAATCATACTAATGTTTAGTTGTTATTTCATTTTAATACCATGTTAAAAATCTAATGTTAAAGTTTTGAAATAAATTGAAAGTTTAGGTATTAAAACGGATTAAAACTGATAGTTTAGGTACTAAACACGTTAAGTTTTTAATGGTAAGATACTAAAATAAAACGAAAACTAAACACTAAATACTATTTTGAAAAAAATTAAAAATTAAATACTAAAAAAATCAAAACTGATAGTTTAAATATTAAATACATAATTTACCTTATATAATATCGGAGACAGAGTGCCCTAAGAGCAACTCCAGCGCTGCGCTGGAGTGGAGTTAATCTCTACTTTTATTACTCTAGCGCTGTGCCACTTTCCTACTCTACTTTGAAGATCGCTACAATATTACGCTACATGTAGCTTGTTACTGTAGCAATGCTACAATTTTTTTTATGATTTTTAGTTTTTTATTTTATTTTGTTATAATAAACATAATATAATATTTTCAAATAGATTAAATTGCAAGATAGATAAAAATACATTAAAATTAGATGAATAAACATTCTAATTTTGTTCTACGAAATACACTAATTGAGCATTTGTGGTATGAATATTCTAATTCGGAGAATTAAAATAAATAATTATGCAACTTATGTTTTTCGCATTATTATTATTAATTGTAATTTTATTATTTATATTTTCGCAATGTTATTTATAAATGTTTTATTAATACTTTTTATCTTGATATTTTTTAGAAATGTATATGTTTTATTTTATATTTGTAAAATCAATATTATAATAGTTAAATATTGTGAATAAAATAGAGTTTGTGGTAATATAGAGATAACGCTGGAGATGAATTACTGTTTCATCTTTAGAGTAGAGATGAGGGCTATAGATGGCCTAAGGCTGTTTTTTTTTTTTTTTTGGAACGTTTGAATAGAATTTTGATAATATGGGCTTACAATCAATGTTGAAGCTAAGAGCTTTAAAAGCTTTAGGCTAAGTAAAATTGATCCAATAGACTATGCGAGAAAAAAATAACCCATTAGCATAAAAAAACTAGCTTTATGCTAGGTGTCCTATGCTGAGAAGGTTCAGCTTATTCAAACGGTGATTTTCAATATTCAGAACTACTGGTGCAGACAATTGATCATTCTCAAGGTGGTTTTCCTTTGCATTGAGCAGTTGTGCTTTAGGTTTTTCTGAAAGAATGGAGGTTGATGCCATGGGGCCTAGAGTGACCTTGAGGGATGTTTGGGACGTTGTTAGGTCAAGGGGAGAGAAGGTTCAATGACAAAGGTTGGTCTGACACCTTTTAATATTCCTAGGCATTCGATAGTTGCCTGGATGACAATTTTAAATCGATTCTCTACTAGGGATATGTTAGTCTGGTTTAGTTTGCAGGTGGAGGATGATAGGTGTGTTATGTGTGGGGGCGATCATATTTTTTTCGGTTGTAGCTTTTCTATGGAGGTTTGGGGTGCTGTGTTGGTAAGTGTGGGATGAGTAGGTAAGTGCGCGGATGACATGTTGAGTTCTTTTGGGCCAGCAGGATGCTGAAGGGTAAGTCCCTAGTTACTACAATCTTAAAGCTAACTTAGATTCTTATATCTATGTTGTTTGGAGAGACAGAAACTTGAGGATCTTTCGGAACAGGCATGCTTCTGAGCAGGAATTGGTACTTTGTATTAGGGATGCTGTGAAGAGTAGGTTGTGGGGGAAAATTGTGAATAGGGATTGTTTGGTTAATATTAATTTGTGTGCAGCTTGGGGTGATAGAGTCTTTGTTTTATAGGAGGGCAGTTTGTTTCTTATGCAGTGGGATTGTGTAATTGGTTTGGTACCTTTGCTACTGTTCGGATAAATAAAACATTTATCTAAAAATATTAATTTGAGATCTACAGTAAATGTTATAGTGCATGATAAACTCGTCACGTCCACATGACGAATTTGCCTAAATAATAATTTTTTGATTCAAATTCGTCACGTCGAAGTGACGTAATTTAATAGGGTGACAATTTTTAATAAAAAATATTTTATTGAAACTCGTTATATCCATGAGTCATTGTAGCAAGTGTCGTAGTTTCTAAAATAAAATGTTTGATTTTGTATTGGGCTAAATAATTAATCCACCTATGGTATTGGGCCAAAATTATCCTTTAGTCAAGTCTTTTTAGATGATGCTTGAGACCATGGATAAATTTGTGTTAGCCCTTTAACCTTAGCTAAGCCCATCCTACCTTTCTTGCCCGTCTCTGGAGTCATCGAAATTGGAATACTCCATAATCAAGGATAGCTTGATGGAGTTGTTCGAAACTTGATGTCAACTTAAGCAGAGAGAATAGCTAGTTGACAATATTCTGCACTAGTTTTCTAGCTGTTCACGACCTTTTCGAGTCGAATATCAAATAGCTCATCTCGACTCGTTAATAACTCAAATCGAACTCGAATCCATTCGAGTCGAGTATTTTTAAAACTTTGACCGAATCAATCTCGAATTGCTCGTAATTTATCTCATCTCATTTATATTCGTAGACGATAGCATGAAAAACAAAAATTGAAGAGAGGAAAGTGCAGCCTATCACTTTTGAGAACCCCATAACATGTGGAGTGAGAGAGATTGATCGATGGTGGTCCCTTAGAATCACACATCAAAAGAATCGCCAAAGATATGTCCATCACAAGATTCCTACACTCATGCGCTACTTATACAATGTACATATAATCATTTTGTATATATCAAAACCAAGTTTATTAGTTAGTTGTCGTAAAATAATTTTATATAATAAATGAGAGTTTATTGAAAGAAAAAGTATTAATATGTTACGCGTAAGCTTGAGGAATGCTTTTTTGAATCATAATAATGGGAAATGGTCCAAAGGGTTGAAAAAACAGAAACAAGAGAGATGGAATGCGAATAAATTGAAAGGACCAGGAGCAATAAAGGCAGTAAATCCATCATTGTAGTAATTAGTTAAGGATGGTCCAAATCCAGGGGTGTGCATGTGCTCCATGTGTAACTTAGGCCGGGGAGAGCCGTACCCGGCCGGCTTCTACTTGTTTGTCCCTGCGGACATCACATGCCCTCTGGACCATCTCTACCATGTCACTGTCCATCATCTTCCATCTCCAAACGCCTGGCTGCCTACATACAGGGGCGGACGCAAGATTTTATGTTAGCAGCGAACTAAAGTATATGATAATTTTAAATTTTTAGAGAGACACTGTCCCCACCGCCCCTCAGTCCATCCTTGTCTACCTACCCAGCTTCAAATACCTTCTCAATCCTTCACCAATGTAGTGCAATATATTAGTGGGAGAGTAGGGCAATTGGCAATGGATAAAGCAAAAGGGAAGAAAAAGATAATGCTTTTCATTTGAAAACGCAACTTTGAGTTTGGATGGTGTATTTAATAAAAACAAAAGGGAAAAAACACAAGAGTCGGCAGAGAGAATGGGGTTAAGATGCAATTAATGGGGAGGAGGATTTAAATTTGCATGGGCCAGGCAATAATTAGTAGGACAATTCAGATGGTCCTAAGCTGGATTTTACAAGTATTGATGTTGATACTTGATGATGATCAGGACCGAGTTTTAATATCAATTCAAGAGAAGGAAAATATAATTAATCAGTAAAACTAAAATAAATTAAAATTAAAAAATTTAATTTAATATTTTTCATATATTATTTTTAGTAATAAAATAATTTGGGAGGCAATAACTTTCGAGTTTTTTTTTTTTTGGTAACAAAGAAGAGAGACTAAATTAACAGCGATTAAAGCTTCTGCTCCAATTATTTAGGTCAGACTGGAGGAGTCTTTGGATCTCAACAGGCGGGTGAGTGAGAACGGTGATACCGGACGAAGTCACACTCCGGAGATGGGCCAGGGCGTCGGCCACACTATTAGCTTCCCTGGGAACATGACTGAGGCTGACCCTCCACTGACGGAGGAGGATAGCGCAAAGTTTACGGATAAGGTACGGTCCGGATGTAGTAAAAGAGGAGGTGAGCATCCTAATGGCTTCACTACAATGACAATCCATCTCAACTTCAATGTGTCTGAAATCATGGTCTCAAGTGACGGTCAAACCAAGTAAAAGAGCCCACAACTCGACACAGAGAGCCGAATATCTGCCAACACTATAGCAGTACCCCAACAGCTAAATTCCATTCCCTGATGATGATGTTATCTCATTCTATTTACTATTTGAACCCTAACGAACAAAGCATTTCATACTCCCTTGTAAAATAATAATTTTGTCATCCATATTTGTTTCTTTTAATATAATCTAGACTAAAATACATCAAATATCACAAAGTTTTTAGTTCGGTTACAAACATATTATTTCTTATCTTTAAATTATAATTTAACCATTTAAATAAAATATTGTCATAAACAAATCGCTAGTCGTTACACTAGACGAAATAGTGACATGATCATAATAATAATTTTAATCCAAAAATTTATATATTATATCAAATTGGTCTTAATTTAAAAATTTTAGTAGATTAAACATTCATGATTAAAATATTTATTAACGTTACGTAACGTTAAAAGTATTGTCAAAAGGATTAAATTGATGAAATTTTTAAATATAAAATGTTAAACTTATTGAATTATTTTTAGTCAAAGACTAATTTTATAAAATGTACACGTTTTAGGTACTGAAATTATTATTATTAAGTCATACTATATTAGACACTTATTTCAATTTCCACGATATAATAATATTTTTAATATAATATTTTAATTAAATAATTAAATTATAACTTTTACAAAAATAATAACTCGTTTATAATCTAACTAATAAAAGATTACCTGAAATATATTTCATCCTGTAATCAACAATAAAATTAAACGTTACTTATAGTCAATAATGGATGGTAAACGGGGCAGGTGCGAATACTCCTTTTCTCATCCTCATACTCACCTAATATTTTTATATTCATCTCCTATCCATTATCCACATTGGGTAAAAATTTTAAATCATACTCGTCTACAAGGTACATTTTTAAATTCATCCCAATAACCACTATCTAACTAGATACCCCACGACTCATCTTGTACACGTCTATGCTCATCCATATCTACCAATTTGAGATAGGAGAAACGGCGATCTTCAATTCTAAAAAAATATATATATACTGTAACATTTGATTAAATTACTAGTCATGTCTTATAAATCTTAAGATTTACAAAATAATCTTTGAAATTATACCTAAATCATTATGGTCCAAAATTTATATGTTGGATAATTAGTGGATGGGCAGATACGAGGCAAACAGATGCAGGACATGCGGTAATGTCTCAAATCTATCACCTACCAACTATCTACGATGGGTATGCCTTTTTACATTTACACCCGCCCACTATCCACTAAACTTATATCCATTCTCATCTCGATTAAAACGAATACGATATGAAATCCACGAAATTATACCGTCTATGATTCTAGTCAATATTAAGTAAAGCAATCATCAAGATAGGGCTGAAGGGAACAGCCAGAGCAACCTTTTCCTTCCTTCCCCACTCTTAATAGTGCAGTACAAATGTTACATCCATCTCTCTCATTAGCTGAAAAGACTAACAAATCAAACATAACTCTTTGTCTTACATCTTCTCCAAATTTCAGGTATGACTATGACTGCCCCTTTTCTTAATTCTTATATATATGTATTTAAATTCAGCTCAGACCCCAGCCAAGAGTTTGACAGGGAACAAGCTCTAGTGGAGATTGCCTGGGCTGTGCATCAGATAATGGGTGGTCCTGCATTATTGCTATATACCAAACCTCACCATTAACAAGTTAAATTTTAATTAATTAGCTCTAAACTAATGAAAATGGATCATCATGTGCTCAAGGTTAACACCTGAATCTCCGCTTTCCATCTACATGGGACCTTTACACTATCTTAAAAGAGTTTTTCTTTTAATATTCACTGAATCTTTGTTATTAGCTTTTGTTTTAAGATAAAGAAGATATATCATAGATTGTGTATCTAAAGTGGTCCATTTTTAGAGTCGTGACTATTCATTCCATTATTGTATTCGTTTAGTACAAATCATTGGTGTGGCACACAAAATTATGATAAATGTGGGATTATCACTCTCTATTTTAATGGAAACAATAATACCAATATTCAATAAAATAGCACATTCTTGTTTTCCACCTAAAACTTGAATGCAAATCAGTAGGTTCATTTATCTAACTCTTGAAAAGAGATATCCGATAGGCTGCGACAAATTTCCCTTCAAATCTTAGCAAATTCTATTTAGTTGAGGAAGACATATGAAGAGATTAAGGAGTGGGAGGCTGAATATAATATGGCAATAAGCTTGCGGTTTCGGGTTTCCATTGAAGCTCGATATCTTGAGCGATCAATTTGGCATCGAAGGAGGCACCAAGCAGACCACGCTTTGTAAACCCTACAGCGTACAGCCCACGTTCACCTTTCCACCCTCTTGGGAATGCCTCCCGAGGCATTCCATCTTCCTCTGAAAACAAATCTCCCTCCTAATCAGTGCAGAAAGTTCAAGTCAACACTCTCAAAACATTAAATTTGAAAATTCAAATCTTATTTACCTTCAACCATTGTGGTACATTGCTTTTGTAGCCTGTTGCAAGGATGATGGCATCAAAATCCTCCCTTCTCCCATCTACAAACTCCACGGCACGCCGTGTTATTCGCTTTATCCCCGGAAACACCTACACAAGAGCAAATCAAACTAGCATTGATCAATGAAACGAAGTTAAAATGCAATATTGGTCAGTCTACTAGGGCTGAAGAAGTAGAAAACTATTAGCATTCAACCTTGATGTCCCCATTCTTGATCTTTGCCAGTGTCCCAACATCCAAAACCGGTGTCTTGCCGCATCGGCTCTTGAGCTCAAGAGGGCCAAGTTTGGGACGACGGATGCCGAGTTTTCCGGTGTCTCCCAGAATGAAGCGAGACACCATAAGTAAAAACCGGTCCACGAGTCTTACCGGGAACCATTTGAGCAACCACATGGATAAACCAAAAGTTGATTTGCCTAGCATTTCTTGAGGAAGGACGTGCACCTGCATATACAGTCACTTTATTTTTATATAAAGAAGGATTGTACTACTACTAAAGATGAGATGATAAACCAGCCACAGCAAACACATATATGAGTTTGTATTTTTCTGGGGCATTTTACCCGTTTCACTTGTCCTTATATTCAGATTCTGGAACTTAATAATAGTACTTCGCACAAGGGGGGGAAATGGGACTTTTAGGCATAAAATTTTGAGCTACATGCAAACAAATTCCAAGAAAGTTGTGCCAGTGACGAATATATCGTCCATCTCCTAATAATTGGAGGCTGATTGAATCCTTGCTTATTCAAAACTGAAGCCTGAGGACTTATGAAATGATCAAAAGCTAAGCAATTTTTTTTTCAAACAAGTTAAAACGAAAACTGCTTTTAGGTTATCTGAAAAGGATAGAAGCAGGCTCACCGAGTCCCTAACGACGAGGGATGGGCGGGCATTAGAGTTGCAGAGATCCAAAGAGACCTCCATGCCTGAATTACCACAACCAACTACCAAAACATCCTTTCCACGAAACAATCGGCCACTTTTGTACGAACTTGTGTGCATGATAGGTCCACCAAAATCATCCATCCCTTTAATTTGCGGCACCACTTCATCAGCATTCTCTCCGGTAGCAACAATGAGCCACTGAGATACATACTCGGTTTCCTCTAGTTTCAGCCCCACTGTCTTAATCCTCCAATACCCACATCGGTCGTCGAACTCTGCACTCACTACGGTTTTGTTGAAAACTGGGTCTAAACCGAAACGGTTCTTGTACGACTCCAAGTAAGCCATAAACTGATTTTTGGTTGGGTAGGTTGGGAAATAAGCGGGGAACGGCATGAAGGGTAATTCACAGAATTGCTTGGGAAGATGAAGACGGAGGCGATCGTAGGTTTTGAGCTTCCACATGGAAGCTATGCAATTAGTCTTTTCAAGGATCAAACTAGGGATACCTTTTTCTTTGAGACAAGCGGCAATGGCAAGCCCTGAAGGGCCGGCACCAATGATTACCGGACACGGCACCCATATACACCTCGCTAAAGTCTTCATCATATTCTTGTTAAAACGATCATGGAGTCTTTTCCCTTGAACTTCCTCGGAGTAGCCCATGAACAGGAATAGAAGCAAACAGTTTCAAGAATCAAGGCTTATCTTTGAGGGATTCAATTCATCTAATTTCGAGAAAACAAAATACACAAAAGAATAAGAGACGCGTGATTTGCGGTTTTTAACACGAAGGGTCTTATACACGTAGGGAAATACAAGGGTTCACCCTGGAATTGGAACTGCGCTCACTCCATGCATATATAATGAAGTAGAATAAAAAATCAATTTCTTTTATATTTTTTATGCCTTAATAATTGATGTAACGTATAATTCTATATGTTCTGAAAAGATATAAATATAATTATGGTATCAAATTCAATAATTCCAAAAGAAAAAGGGGGAAGCATGAAAAACATTCCAATTTACAAGGACCGGAGGGGCTAAAAGCTATCCGTGAGAATACTAAATGAGACGGTGGGGAGGGTGGGGATATTTCTCGAGTGTTTTCGGGGAAATGGTGCCTTTCAATCTCGCTCGTAATTCTGTCCTACTAAACTTTTGTTCTCCTTGTAAATGGGACCTATCAATTACAAAATAAAAAACTATTAAGGGTTATTTTTGTGTTTTCTTCACTGATTTCAAAAAATATAATATATAGTTATTTTCGTTTTTATTTAATTAAGATGCAGTCACCGCCTTTTAACTGGTGTTAAATATTTTGATATAATCACGTATTTGGTCTCTATTATTTATATATTCTTTTAATTTAGTCCTACTTTTAATAAATTAAAATAAATTTAATCTTCCAATCGAATGATACTACGTGTCGTGCAAGTGTCACCATTCGGTTGGAGGACTAACTTTTCAAAGTACTGGTGGAAAATAAATATATTATATTAAAATAAAGTTAGTCCTCCAACCGAATAATGATATGTGGCATCAGTGACACGTAGAACCAATGACATGTGATATCATTTGATTGAAAGATTAAATTTATTTTAATTTATTAAAAGTAACACTAAATTGAGAGAATATATAAATAACATGAATCAAATGTGTGATTATACCTAAATACCACGCCACCTAATATGTTAACTGTTAACGGCAGTTTACTTGTGGTGACCACATCTTAATTAAATAAAAACGAAAGTGATCTTATCTTAATTAAATATAGACAAAAATGGTCATGTATTATATTTTCTGAAATAAATGAGTAAAAGTAGACAAAATATAAAGATAAGTGATGAATCATGTAATTAACACGAATATTAAAGATAATCAATCGTTTAAAGTAATTGACATAAACTTCAAGTATATAGTATCATTAAATACACGATGAAGTTTTTGTTATTCTGACATAAAATAAGAATCGAAGAAATCATTGAATTGAATAATCATAAAGCATTATTGAAATTCGCACTAAAAATTAAAGAAAGAGTGAGGATGAAAGAAACCGCTCCTATTCTTGATCTGAACTAAAACATCTTGGACCGATCTTGGTAATTAATGGTTAGAGATGGTGATCCATTGTGGGCTCAACTTGCCCCCATTTATGGAGCTGGAACCCACGTGATCATCTCACACTTGGTCATCAACTTCTAAATTAAACCACCCAGCAGAACAGATGTACATATGGTACCAAAGACCTAGACACGATATCACTCGCATATTCACTTAATTTAGAATGCTTGCATGTATCAAGCATGCATCTGTCGAGACTTTATATCAGGTTTCTCTTGCCTTTTTCTTCTTCTTATAATATATTAATGTAAGACAAGGTCTTCTGCTCGCGAAATCCCTGAGGGCGAGGAACCTCATCGTGGAAGCCGATGTAAAATGGGTGGTCGAAACCCTAAATAAGGACAGGATTGACGACATCCAGGAAAAAAAAATATCTGAAGATGATTGCGAAGAACTAAGAAAAGAAGGTTAGATTTCTAAAATTAGGCATAGCTGGAGAGAAAGGAATCGATGCGCTGACCGTCTAACTAATATGGCGTTTGAAATAGAAGGGGGAGTTCTTCATATCCTGATAGATCCACAGGAGGAAATAGCGACGCTGCTTAGAGAGGATATCAACGGGGAAGGAGTGATGAGAGGGTAGACCACAAAGCGTAGTCTTTTATATTGTAGATGAAATAATGTAGTATTTGTTCATAGATAATTCTCCGTCGTTTGATATTGAACATTCACATCCATGACATTTTCGGTGTTCGACCCTAAAACCTCAAAAAATAACAACAATTTCTTTATGTCGTTTATTTTATCTCTTATCTATTGAGGCGTTAAGGAATAACCTCTTTTTGGTTGTTATATAACTATCACATAGTGACATAAAGACAATAACCTAAATGGGGACCCTTGGGATAAAAGGTTAAAGAGTAAGGGAATTTAACTTTTAATCATTTTTTAATCAATGCTTTAATTAGACACACGTCGGTCACCTTTTAAATTAGACACTACCATTAATTTCTCAGTTTCGTGTATAACCCCCCCCCCCCACAATATTTGTACAAGTATGCACTTATACTTGGATTCTTTTGACAAATTTAGAGTTAGATTTTTTATTTAAAAATTATATTTAAAATTATATTACATATACTATCCAAACACAAATTCACATGAAGTACTATTTAATTAATTATTGTGATTAAAAATATGTGCAAGCAGGGTCAGGGGACATGCCTCCCCAAAATTTAAAAAATTATAGTTTAGACTCTTAAATTTAAAAAAAAATTAATTTAGTCCCTCCAAAAAATTTAAAAATTCAAATTAAACTTTAAAATTTGTTAATGTTTTTAATTAAATCCTCTCCCGTAATTAAAAAAATTATTAAGCATCTCAAAATTTCAAAAAAATTAGCGAGACCCTAATATTTTTGGAAAAATGTAAACTAAACCTTTCAAAAGTTTTAAAAATTTTAAATTAAACTTCTAAATTTTTTAAAGTTTTAAGTTGTCCCCAAACTTTATCACCACGCTCGACCACTGTATGCGAGCTAAACTAGAAAATGATTCAGAAAGAAGAAATGAGATTCATGGGTTTGCCTAAATAAAACATTATTACACTTTTATGATTATTACTATCATGCAAAATGATAATTTGTCCCTGTAGTAGATTTAATTTACCACTTTCATTCATATCGTATTTTTATATCAATTTAACCCTCGAAGTTGCTCGACTGCATCATTCTATATTTACCCTAACTTAAAACCCTAAACCCTAAATCCTAAACTCTAAATCTTAAAGCTTGACTTAGGGTTTAAAATTTAGGATATGATATAGAATGATGCAATCGAGCACCTTCGAGAGTTAAATTAATACGATAGAGATGAAAATGATAAATTTGGTATACTACAGAGACAAATGTCACCTTTATTATTATTATTATTATTATTTGGTGGGAGACAATGGATGTCCCAGAGAAGATTAAGGATCCAAGCATAGCTAACAAAGGAAATTTAAAGTGAATGTGTGTGGGGAAAAAGAAGTAAAAAAATAATGATTCAAGAGGATATGTTAGCGTCTGCATAAAACAAATGAAAGGGAAATTGTTAGTGTCCTCGAGGCCCAACATATTTGAGATATGAATTAAAAAAAACATTGGAAAAAAAATAAAGAAATGATAATTGTTTGAAATATTTGATAATCAACATTTTTAATTCTGTAAGATAGGTTATATACCATTAAATATTATCTTTTAAAAGTTTATTGAATTTAATTTGATTAATATTATAATTTATATATAACACACACAAAGATTATATCAAATGTGCTACCCACCCATATTGTATTGTCGGGCAATGCCCGACCTATAGAATCGAATATTTACCTCTAAAATACATAATAATCTTATATCGGGTTGACGAGTAAACAAATTAAGTAATTTGAATTGAATATTTTTTGAACTAACCCTAATTAAAATAACAATATTTTCATTAAATTACAAGGAAAAGAAGGAAAAAAAATCAATTTAGAGAAACCAATCAGACCACAGCATCCTTTCCATTATAGAATAGTAATTGGGCCTACAGCGAATCCCCGGATGCTTGAAAGTGATAGGGTCCCACATGATCCAGCCTTCACGTTGTATGATCCTTATTCTTATTGGTAGCTTTTCTTGTTAAGGTTAAATTATATTGCTTCCCACCAAATTTTACTTTCTCTTCTATTTTACTCACCTTACTTTCAATTTTTTATTTTGTTCACTGAATTTTATAGATTAAATCATTTTGTTCACTCTACCGTTAACTCTCTAACGGTGTGATGACATGACGTAAGTATCAAAACGACATCGTTTTGAAAAACTCAAATATACATCAAAATAATGTCGTTTCGAATCTTCTTCTTTCCCACCATTTTTTCTCTACTCTGTCGCTGGCCACCACATCATTTTTTCATTCCGGTCACCGTCTTCAATTGTTAATAATGATCGTTCGGTCTTAAAATTAATGGGCAAGTTCTTCTCGACCCCCTAGGTCCAAATCTGGTGGTTGCTTCACCGAAAAATGTCCTATAATTCATGAATCTCGATTCAAATATTATGGCTTCTTCACTTTTAATCTCCAATTCGTGGACTTTGGAGCAAGTTTTGATAAAATAAAGGTCGGATTCAAATTTAAGGTGTTGAGACAAAGCGACCCATGAAATTTGGGACCTAATAGCCACCATCTACAACGGTCAACAGTGGTCGGCAATGGAATCCGACCACTTTCTATTTTTATTTTATAGTTGGGTGAACAAAATAGGTGTGAGAGAGTAAAGTTCAATGAGGAATGGTATAATTTACACTTTATAATTTTAATTATTTTTATATTAAATAATAATAAAAAATGACACATCATCACACCGTTAGAGAGTTAATGATAAAGTGAGCAAAATAATTCAATTTGTAAAGTTTAATAAGAAAAATAGAAAAATTGAAAGTATGGTGACTAAAATAAGAAAAAAAGTAAAGTTCAATGAAAGTATAATTACCCTTTGGTTAATTAGAAATATATTATATGTTTTATCACTCGATGGGCCAATAAATTTTTTGAGCAATAAATCTTTTATTGATAGCTTTGTTTGACTTTGAGGGTGCACTAATCAAAATGACTACTTAATTTTTCTAAAACTCATATTCAATATATTTTTTTATAATTACTGATATTTAATTTATTATTTAATTTTATAATATTTTATCATAAAATAATTTTTTTAAAATAAAATTTTAAAAATTAATTAATATTTAACATATATTTACGCATAGTTTATGACATCACTCATTTAAAATCCTTAATTATTATGCTTATTCTTCATTATTGATATGTTCTAGTGAATATAAATTTATCGCCATTCGTCATTCGCCCGACGGATGAGTCAACGAGCCAACGCGATCCACACAGCGACACGGAGGTGAGCAGTGAAGCCAGCAAGTTTTTCAAAGATGAAATTGAACGGTGGATTTTTATGAAAACTATTAAGTATTTTTATCAGTATTAATTTTAAAAAGGATTATATCATAATTTTATCTTTTAAAAAGATAAATATAATTTTACTATTATTTGTAATCTTTTCATATAAAATTAAATATTAAAAATAGAATGTCATTGGTTACAAAAAGAAAAATTTAAGAATGAAGTTCAAATTTTAATATTCTTTTCTTACAAATAATGGGTATAATGAGTATGCAATTGTTTTCCCTTAATACATTAAATTAAATTTAATCATTCTTTTAAAATAATGGAATTTACTTGACCCGGGACTTAGTACATCCACCCCTGGTTGGAACTTTACTTGGGTATGTGTAACCAGAAAGAAAAACCGAAAGGGAAAAAAATGAATTACTAGGCAACGCATATTAAACAAGTTCAAATTAGTAGCTGTGGAAGTGAATGGTAACAAAATGCTGAGAACAGTTCGTTCAAAATGGCGCTACTTTCGGTTAGTCCCTTTCTCTTTTTCATCGATTTTGAAACAAATAGTCACCCACATCAAAATAGAATTACGCCCTAATTTAATCATTATTTATTGAATTTATCTTGTTTGGATTTGTTTACAGACTCATGGCTATCGAATAGAACAAAACAGATGATTCATGATTTCGGTGCATTCCGATATTTAGAATCAGTAAAATAATGCAATACGGCGCAAAACGAGAAAAACAGGACCCCAAAAAAAAAAAAGTAAAATGAGAACGAAGGGGTATAAGTTTTACACATTTTATTTATATCCAAGAGAGAAGCACTGCTTATAAATATATTATATGGAGTCACGACGGTTACTTACCCGGAGAATTAGACGAAGCCCTCACCATCAAGGAAGAAATCATCAAATCAAAGGCAGGTCTGAATCAGCAATCAGACTGAATCACTCCAAGGTATATAATGGGCTTCACCACCTCTACTCTGTGGGCATCAATTGCCTGAAGATACTAACACGTTGGAATCCTTTAAATGTTTTTGGAATTGTGCCAAGCGCGCCTGCAGTTGTACGATTCCTGCAGCCTTCTGTGAGAGAATGGTATCTAATTTAGAGATATAATCATCCAGCTGATTGCCAGCTTGGTCAGCTTCAACTAGCAGATTCATTTCCTGCCACCATAATAACAGTCGGAATCAATGTAGTTATAGCTGTTAAGGGAATGAGCAACAAGCAAAATGTTGTATCTACCTCCCTGACAAGCTCCATTGTGTCCTCAACTTGCCTTCGATGAGCAGATACGAGATCTTCCTCTTCCTAGTAACAGAAAAAGGCAAACTTTGTTCCATGAATAAATACGAGCAGGAAAGAAGAATCCAATGCCAGAAAATTTGATTGATCGTACCTTTAGCAGGGCACTTAAATCATCATCTGAATTGCTATAATCAAAGGTTGAAGGATCCACAAGCTTTGTTAAATCATCTTTTCTTTTCTGCAACATCTTTGGTTGCTCATATGTCTCCTCAAAGTAATCAAAATCATCCTCGGTCATGCTGTTTAGTCCACCTCTCTGACCATTCACATAATCTGAATATGGTACAGCCAAATTTGTATCTCTTCCACTAGGAACAGAATCCATTTTAAAAGATATATCTCTTTCAGTCGGTTTGGACCACCCATATTTGTTCTTTTCAAAAGGAATATCAGTTATGCTATCCTCAAATGCATCACTCGGTAAAGATGAAGATAAGGGCAATGCAGTTGACTCTCTAAGATTTGATGACGAAGGTAGCATATCCTTCTTGGAGTTATTCCCTTTCGATAGGCTCTTCACCCTGGAATGCAGGTACCACAGTATGGTTTAATCAACTGTACAAGTCACTTCTTACAAAGTAATTTTAATAGCAGAACCATATACCTATCAGCGTATCTGAGTGTATTCAGGGTGTGTTCACATGACCCTGAGCTCGGAGAAATACATGATATCATAACAGTTCGTGAGTCACCCATAAATGAATCTCTAAGAACTTCAGTCAGCTTACTTCCTCTGAACGGAATGTGACCCTGGTCATTGTCAAGAGCTCTGATACATTCTTTTAAAGCAAGTAAACTTTTATTAATTTCAGCACCTTCCATTCTGCAGAAACATGAAATCAGCTTATTAGGATATCAAGTTATCTAGGAGACTTGGGCTCTATTTTATAGAGATTATGCATTCACTTAATTTTATATTTGGAGCAAATTGCTTTCAAGAAGCATAATCCTAGATTGCATGGATTCAAAGTTTGTTTACCTCGTCTGTTTGTCATTGTCAGTTGTATCAGCACCACGCTCACTTCCAGCAAGATCTATGAAGGAAAGTTTCCCAACAAGTCTAGCAGGCTTCAATTCACTGCCATCAGCCGATCTCTTGATGGCAAGCTGAAGAATAGCATGTGACCTTGAAGACTCTTCGTTTGCTCCAGTAGTGCCAGTGCTTCTTGTAGCATTTCCTCTCTCGATTAACTCCTTGATTGTCTGAACATCCAACACCTTGTACTCTTGAAGACCCACAATACATACTTGTTGTTTACCATCTTCTCTCATGCAAAGCTTTCTGTGACAGGTAGAAATCTAATCACTAAACTATATGCAATACGACAATTTGGCTAGGTTTCCATATGGGAATAACTTACTTCCTATCATTAAGGAGGTCAAAGACTTTTCCCCCATATATCTCAAAATAACTGACAAAGAGTTGGAACCCTTGGTTCCGATATGTATGGTACATTAATCTAAATATATCTTGAGATGCTTTTAGAGGCAGTGGCTGCATAGTATAAGTCTTTCCACTTCCTGTAGAAAAAACACAGGACCAACTAAATGTCATTTGCAAGAATATACACAGAAAAAGAAATAAGACACTGAAAGTGCAAAGTGGAACCATATGAATGTTGCAAAAAGACAATTTCTGACACAGAATGTCAAGCAAAACTAACCTATACAAGATGTTATTGGAGTAAACAAAATTACATTTGAAAGTTGTAAATCTGATTACTTAAGAAATGGACTTCTTCTTCTTCTTGTTTTCTCTATGCGTGTATTCTATCACTAAAATAGAATACGTTTATAAGATTAGTTACCTGTCTGCCCATATGCAAAACAAGTTGCTTTTGTTCGATTGAAAATTAGAGGAACTATTGGCTCCACAGTCTTTGAGTACACCTGCCACAATAGAAAATGAAATCTAGTTAATTTAGCTGAATGAAACTGTAAAGGATGTTCACTTCTTGTCATGTACTCACCTCCTCATTGCTAACATCTTCATTCAGCACTGCATCAAAAAGAAATTCATGCTTCTCAACATATTCTGTCAGGTCAACCTGCAATTATGAATCATTACACCTCATGCAAAAGAGTCAAAGAATACCACTAAGTCATTTATAATTAACCATGGAAGATGTAAAGTGTTGCAGGTCGAGATTACTCTGAGTTGCTTAGGCTTTCAACAATAACTGTAGGAAAAAAGAGTAGGAAAAAAGAGAATGCCCATCAGCTCCTCACCTTTAGCTTTTTTTCATGAACCATTAGTGCACTGGAATCTATAGTGATGATATCTTCCTCTTTCTTTGCTATTTCCTTTTTGTTCAATGGTCTCTTGCGCACCTGTATCGGAAGTTAATATAAGCTATTTTAACAATGACAAAAACAAAAGCGGCCATGACATGGTTTCTTTGGTGATACCAGCTATCTATAATCAATCTTTTAAGGTGATGTTATCTCACATCTATTTAGTCTTCCCGGCATCCCATATTCAGGTTGACTCACCATCTATTACTGGTAGGTTTTAGCTTGTATGCTTAATAAGTCTAGTGTTCCTATATTTAAGTTGCTCTACATTGACTATCAACTTGTTTTAGGTTGGATATTTAATAAGAACCATTTGCTGCAGCAAGAAAAAAGCACCGCTCTCTATGTCACATTGAATTGTATATAATACTTGTTAAGATCATGAATTCATCACCCAAATGAGCATTAAAGTTCGTAAACAACACAACTTCATCATATTTCTTGGCCCAACTGATGGATCACTTGTTTACTGCAATCACTCAAAACATTGAATTGATATTTTCAGTACGATATTAGACACAACCCAAAGAAGGGATTCAAGAAGCATACCACGACTTTAATCTTGGCAACATTGTTAGATCTTTCTTTATCTACTGCAATGCTTTTGAGAAGGCTATTCTCAGCCATTCCTAGTGGCCTGTTTGGAAGTTTAATGGTAGATACATACGGCTCAGAATCATCAAATTTTTTACCACGAATAGGTTTCTGAAGCCCGTATCCTTCGTACAGATTAGGAACCTGCAATTGTAAAAAAGGACTAATAAATTTATTATCCAGGTAAGAAAATAAAGTTTCGAATAACTAATTTTTAAAACCCGCTATATTAATATAAATGTGATTTTTTAATGGTTTGAGGAAAATATAATGCAGCTATCAATTAACACTTAATCACTTGATTAACCAGAGGATCAAACCAAACTTTATGCATTCATTAGCATATAGAATTTCATTGAAACAACGCTAAGTAAATCAGGCATATATGAGTGAGAATGAAACCGGGAACAACAATCCAATAGAAGAAATAGAATAAAACCTCGGAAAGCAGCTCAGTATCAAATGAATGAAGATCCAGTAAACCGGAGCTGAGCTCACTCGGGGACACGTATTCATCGCTGTTCTTCCTCAAGCTCGACGACCTTGAAGAAAGCGGCGGCGTCCCCGGCTCCGGTGACTTCCTGTTCATTCTTCCTCCGCCGTAGAAACCGAACTCCTAACCAAACAGCAAACAAATAAAATAAATACGATGCCGTCACAAGAAACGTGAAGAGATAGAGAGAGTGAAAGATCGAGGACCTGAGAAGAAGGGAGATTGGAGGACTGAAGCCATTTGGCGTTGAACGACGCTTCGGGGAAGTTATCGGAGTATTGCCGTTGATGATAAGCGGTCGAATTAGATCTCGCCATCTGTCTCCCTACCAAGCTCATTTTCTCTCGCCGGCCTACGATAAGTATGCAGAGCTTCTTCAACTGAAATTTCACAATCGAAACCAAACAAAAGTCAAATATAGAAAAAAGAAGAGACAAGGGGAAAGGGAAAGCTAACTAGAGAAACAAAGGAAATACAAGTGATGGTTGGTGTGTTATTGTTTAGAAACCTTCTTTCTTAGCTTTTCCTCTCTCTTTTCCCCCCTTCAAATTACCAGTACTGAATTTTAATAAGAGAGAGAATGAGCATCATCATAGTTCGTAATATACTAGTTTCGAAATTAAAGGGCCGGGTAACGAGGAGGAGCGGCGCGTGTGCAACACATAAAATAGGTAAAATACTACACAAATGAGGTAAAATAGTAGGTTACCTCCAACGCGTTGAGAGTAGCTTCCGTGGGAGACCTCCATATATGAAATACCATCCATGGGACTCAATTCCACGACCTCAATATTAAAAACCTTGTGTTTTACCAATTAAGCTGGATGGTCATTTCAGGTAAAAAACTACATAATATATTACTAAACTTTAGGTAGTATATTATTTATAGCACTAATTTTTTTATTTCTCAAATTATAATAGTAAACTTTGATTTTAATTTTATTTATGTCACTAGACCGTTAAAATTCAAATGATGCGAAAAAAATGACATCGTGTTGGTAATGACTAATTGATCATCGATGCCCAAAGTGATGTTTTAGGTAGTGAACTTTGAATATGTATCAATTTTGTCATTAAACTTTTAAGCAATTCAATTTTTGACATTGTATTATTCAGGTCACTGTCGGTATCCAATTACCATCCATTATTGGTTATCATTTGTGGCAAGATCAATACCAAAACATTCTCGTTTCATTATTCTTTTCTTATTCTATAATTGATTTTCTACTAGACACACTCAAAACCGATGTAATTAAACAAAAGATATTATCTCTAAGGGTTTGAGGACTATAATTCAAGGGCTATTTGATTGCATTATCCCTACTATTTACCAATATAAAAAAGAGTTTTGAAAGGGTTGGAATACCACGCCCGTGAAGCTGCGCGTGAGAGTGGAGTGAGTTGCTTTAAATGATTTAAAATTGCAGGCAGCAAGGGGACTGTGCTGGACGGGAGAGGCCAAAGCGGCTTTGTTGGATTGGTAAAAGCCTAAAATAGAGAGGGAGTTGGAGTGCTTGTCGTTGTCGACCCCGCTTTTAGGGTTTGCAATTGGATGACATAGGACGTGTTTTTTTATGTACGCTTTTTTTAATTTAAAAATATATATTTGTTTTAATTTAAATATATATCACTAAATTTTAGACCCTATATCGTTTATATCATTAGATTTTTAATTTCTCTTATTATAATACTAAATTTTGATTTTAACTTTAATTATGCTACTATATCATTTAATTTTGACATTATGATGAAATAAATATATCTTTTCGTCATTATTGATGTCCAACATGACGTCGTTTTAGGTACTAAACTTTAGAGATGTATCAATTTTACCATTAAACTTTTAGATAATTTCATTTTAGACATACATTTTCAACCGCTGCGGGTAGAGGTGGGTATATGGGTTAAGGCCCGCGGCTACCCGTTTAACCCGTGATCCGTGCGGGTTTTGGACATCAAAAACTGAAGCTCATTTAAATTACGGGCTTTTTAGCCCGGACCGTTAAACCCGCGGGTTTAATGGGTATAACCGTGGGTATCCCGCAATAGTCAGCTTAATTTAAAATTTATAAAATTAAAAAAAAACTTAAAGAATTTGATAGAAAAGGAAAATAAATTACATATAAATATGATGTTACTTATAACCATTGTAGTTCTTAAATTTCTTAGAGTAATTGTCATAATTCTACTGCTGCTTGATATTTTTTTTTCATTTACAATGTATCAAATTATTCTTTATTTTAAAAAATAAAAATTAAAAGATTTATATAGTATTTTAGTATTATAAAATTTACATCATTATCACTTTGGTATTTAAAGATTTTTTTATTTAATTTTGATCTTTATTTTTTTCATGAATTATGTTATCCATTTCGTTATTTAATTATAAAAAGTCACATGATATTCTAATAATATATCACATGACACGTAATATTTAGATTAAAAATAAGAAGAAAAAAAGTAAAATAAAAAATTGAAAATATAATTTTTCAACTTTTAAAGGCTTTTACAAAAGAAAAATTGTTAGATTTGTATAATGTTTGTCTTTGTTGAATTTTTCTGTTTGAATTTCTACATGCAGACACTTCTGTGTCTTCATATTATAGCATTGAATAATCGTGTTTTATAAAAGTATAATGTGGTTATTGTTTAATTTGTTTTTCAATTTGGTGATATAAGTGAATATTATTTTTTTAATTTGAGTTTAAGTAATTTTATCATTATACATATATTAATGATTAAAAAATATTATTTTATAATCATTTCCGACTATTTAAAAAAATTAAATGTTATTTATTTTTTTTGACGGTGTTGTCTTCCTTTTCAAGTTACTAGATCATTTGTAAAGGTGTAACAAGTTAGAACATTATTTTTTATTGTATTTAAAGCATTTAATTTTTTTTATTTAACGGGCCGCGGGTAAGCCTGTTTAACCCGCGAGTTAAATGGACGGGTTGCGGGTCTTATAATTCAAAATCGTTTATGATTGCGGGCTTTTTAAACTGCTTCGTTTAAGCCCCCACCGTCAAAACCTGTGGGCTAAACGGACTGGTAGCCCGTATACTCACCTCTAGCTGCGGGGAGCTAATCATTCTCTATTATCGACTGTATTTCTCATTGATATCAACATCAAAATGTTCATGTTTCACTCTTTTTTCTTCTCATATGGTTGATTTATCATTTAACCCGTTAAAAAGTCGAAGAAAATACGTTTAAAAGCTTGACATTTGAATATTATGATATCTTCTAATGATCATTTGATGAAACTAATTTAGAAGTATATTGTTTGACTTCTCGAGACAATTATTCTCATCGTTCGGGCTTTTGAACAAACACTCCAAAATATATCAAATATAAGAAAGTCCATAAATCTCTAAAAATGATAAGTTTTTTTAATATCAATTTCGAGTGAATTTCATGGAAAATCAATCACATGATAATAAATAGAAGTTAAATGCGAACATTTTGATATTGATCTTATTGCGAAATACGATCGATGGTGTACGATGATTGGTTACCGCTTGAAAAAAAACAATGCCAAAAATGAAATTGTTTAATAGTTTAGTGATAAAATCAATACACCCGAAGGTTCAATGTTGTTTTGTCCGTACCATTACACTATTTGATGATATAACACGTTAGTCAAATAATTTACTTTTTATTTTAACCCATGAATTTTAGATAAAATATTATTTATGTGCCTTTTTATAAATTCGAAATAATTTAAAGATCAAATTTAGGAATAAAAATTATTAAATTCTTTTACTAATATATTATATTATCAAACTAACGACTATCCATGTCTTAATGATGAAAACTTAATAACTATTCTTGTAGTTTACCATAATATTAAATGCATAGTACGTTGGATTTCTGCTTTAGATTTGATATATTAGGTAGTTTGATGTTGATATTAACGTATTTGTGGGCCTTCTCTTTTACGTTGCTTATATATATATATATATATATATATATATATATATATATATATATATATATATTATTAAGGTAATGTGATTATAAATAATATATGTTGTTAATATTTTTGATCCCGTGATTTTTAAAAGTAATAATAATTTTTTAATCATTGAAATAAGTTAATTCATGTTTATGTTCCTTATCTGAGGTGAGGCAGAGGCAGTCTGCTTCAATTTGGTTGGTCCAACCGTTCATGACCATCAAGTAAATGCAACCATCCTTTTTGGGATAAACAACTTAAAATTCCACGTTGGGATAGGAGGGAGGGAAACTTTTGAAATTGATTTACTGATCAAGTAAGAGATTAGTTTAAAGTGGGAATTACTACAAACAGGGCATGGGGGAGCTTTTAATTTGAATCGAATTCTGTCGGTGACACTGAATATTTCCATTCTTGTTTTGTAGATAGTGCCAAATCATGACTATCAATGATGTCCGCTGCTATCATGAATAACCCTTCTTTTTCTTAAACGGAATCTTCATTTAAATGTAAAATCTTAAATAATAAAACTAATTATGTAAATGAAAAATCTTGAATTCCTTTTATAGATACTATTATTATTAAAATGTTTTGATTTTATTATTATTATTTTTAAAAAATCAGGATTTGGTGATTTTATTATTATTATTATTATTTAATGTACGGTAAATTATATCGTTCCTCACTGAACTATACTCTCTCTCTTATTTTCCTCACTCAACTTTTAATTTGATCAAGTTGCTCACTGAACTTTACAATCAAATCATTTTGCTCACTCAACTGTGTTCTCTCTAACAACTAATGGTGTGACATTTTTATTATTATTTAGTATAAAATAATTATAAAAATAAAATAAAAACAGAAAGGTGGCCATGCCACCGTTGATGGTGGTCTTTTGGTCCTAAAATGGGATGGGTCGCTTAGCCTCGACACCTTGAGTCATAATCCGACCTCTATTTTTTCAGAACTTACTCTGAAGTCCACAATTTTGAGATTTAAAGTGAGAAAATTGAAACGTTTCAGTCCAAATTCACGGGTTTTGGAATATTTTTCGGTGAAAACAACCACCTGATTCAGACTCAAGGGGTCGAGAAAAACCAACCATGAAATTTGAGACCGAACGGCCACCATCTACGATGGTCAACGGTGGCCGAAATCAAAATGATGTGGTGGCCAGTAGAGAGAAAATGAAGAAGAGAAGGAAAAATGGTAAATTACACTATGAGTCATTGAACTTTATTCTCTCTCATGTTTTACTAACCAAAACGACGTCATTTTGGAGTATATTTGAGTTTTTCAAAACGACGTCGTTTTGATGCTTGTGTCATGACATAACGCCGTTAAATAATTAACAACAGAGTGAGCAAAATGATTCAATTTGTAAAGTTCAATTAACATATTGATCAAATTGAAAGTTGGGTGAGAAAAATAAGAGAGTAAAGTTCAATGAGAAACAATATAATTTACCCTTTAATGTATTGGAATAAATAATTAATCCATCTAAGTTATTAGGCTAAAATTGACTTTAAATATAAACCAATGGATTGGGTCACCAATGGTAATATAGATCCATAAGAGTTTGTAGAGTCACTGAGCCACCACATGTTAGGATTCTGGCTATTGGAGATTTAGATAGCGTTTGGTTGGATGGAATCCCTTGGAATTAGTGGGATTTGGAATCCAATTCCACCACTTTCCCATGTTTGGTTCAGTTTTTCAAGGGAATTGGAATCCCTGATGGAATTCAATTCCATCAAATGAGGGAAAGTTAATTCCATCCAAAAATTGATGGAATTATATTCCCTTGTTGGAGGGAATTGAAATTTGATCATACTACCCTCATCAATCCTTTGGTAACTTATTCATATTATTGAGTTAATCGATTGACGGAATTGGCCAAGAGGGGGGTGAATTGGCAATTAAAAATTTGGTGGAAGCTTTTGCAGAAAATTGAAAGTAATTGTACAGCGATTTAGAGTGGTTCGACTTTCTCAATCAAAGTCTACGTCCACTACCTTAACTATCCACACTAAGGATTTTCCAACAAATTCACTAATTTGTTCTTTCTTTTGAGGCCAAAGAGATAACCTTACAACACCCTCAAGAATATACCCCAATTCTTGAGAACACTCTTTCCCAAAGAGAAGATTACAAATTTGTAAACTTACAAGGAAAACCTCACAAGGTAAGTTGTTTGCACAATTCTAGAACAAGAAAAGAACACTCACAAATAATTATAAATGAGCACAAATGATGTTCTTTGAAAGCAAAATGAATATTGAAAGGAAAATTGGATTGATTTGCACAAACTTGGTGTTTGATGCTTTCACTCTTGTTTCTCTATGATTTCTTGTCTTTCAAAGGCTTCAGAACTTGTTTAAATACACCTTGAATCACTTCTGAGCGTTGGGGATGATTAGTGAAGATCATATAGTCGTTTTAGTGTGAAAACAATTAATAAAACAGCTTGGAGCGTGGGGGGAATCGATACCCTTATGGGGAATCGGTTCCCTAAGTGTAAAATTCAAATATTTCGACCGTTATACAAGGGGGGAATCGGTATCCCCTGGGGGGAATCGGTTCCCTCCGAGCATACTGAAATTCTCAGAGCCAAACCATTCAGGGGGAATCGGTACCCCCTTGGGGGAGAATCGGTTCCTTCTGAGCAATCTGGAATTTTTGGCTTTGAAATGGTTCGAAATACTTTGTAAAATTATTTTGAAATTGTTTTAAGATTTTACACTTGAGTAAGGATTAAAAATGATTTTTGAAAGATTTGGAGTAATGTTTTGATATTCGAATAGTTATATCGAATATACTTAGAAAATCATTTGAAAATTCTTAAAATTCATTTAACTTAATTTGTTATATCGAAATATCAAAATGTTTTCAACACATATATTGAATAAAAATATTTTTTTATTATTTCGGGTCGGGTTTCTAATTCATATGTTCGGGTCAGGTCGGATCGGGTTTAGGGTGAAAAAACCCGGACCGACCCGAAAATATATATAATTCAGGTCGGGTCAGATTAAGTCACTGTTTTTATTAAATAAAAATAATTTTTTATTATTTAGGGTCGGGTTGAATTTCTAATTCATATATTCAGGTCGGGTCGGATGAAACTTTATTTTGTTCGGGTCGGGTCAGTTTTTTTAAGTGTGATATTCGGGTTGAGTCGGGTCGGGTTTTTTTAAGTGTGATATTCGGATCGGATCGGGTCGGATCGGGTTCGAGTTTAGGGTGAAAAAACCCGGACCGACCCGAAAATATATATAATTCGGGTCGGGTCGGTTAAGTCACTGTTTTTATTAAATAAAAATAATTTTTTATTATTTCGGGTCGGGTCGGATTTCTAATTCATATATTCGGGTCGGTTCGAATGAAACTTTATTTGTTCGGGTCGGGTCGGGTTTTTTAAGTGTGATATTCTGGTCGAGTCGGGTCGGGTTTTTTTAAGTGTGATATTCGGGTCAGGTCGGGTCGGGTTCGAGTTTAGGGTGAAAAAAAACGGACTGAACCGAAAAAAATATATAATTTTACATTATATATTTATGAATAATTACAATAATACCCCTCTATATATAATTTTTTTCAATTAAGTCAATGTTTTTATTGAATAAAAATAATTTTTTTTATTATTTTGAGTCGTGTCGGGTCTAGTTTCTAATTCATATATTGAATAAAAATAGTTTTTGATATTTTTTTGTAACTAATTAACATACTCCAATTGGAATGTATCGAAATATTGCTCCATCTTTTGGTAACTTATTATCATATTTTGATTGCGATGATTTTAACTTATAATGTTTATTAGCATGATTTTTATAATTTATTGAAATGAATAATTAATCAATAAAATAAAAAATTTTAATTTTTAATTTTTTAAAATATATTACTACATATAAGTTGTAAAATAAACTAAAATAAAGCAAAAAAACAAGAAGGATAATTTTATCATTTTACATTACTGAAATCAAATTCATCTGACATGTCTGCGAACCAAAAAAATATGAAATTGGATTCCAATTCCATTTCCTGCCAACCAAACAGAATATGGAATTGGATTCTAATTCCTACAGATTCCAATTCCTTCACAAATTTCAATTCCTTCATAAACATTCCAGCGAACCAAACGCCACCTTAGGCTACGTTTGGTTCACGAAACGTAAGATTATCAGTAGGAATAAAAGATTACCAGAGAATATGATTACTGAGAATGTTGTAATTTGTGTTTGGTTGGTTTAGCAGTAATTTAATATTACCGTGTTTGGCTAAAGGAATAAAAGATTATGGAAATATATATTTGACAAAATTATCCTTATTATTTATTTGTTTTTTAACAAGTTTAATTCTACTATAATATTACTATAATTAATTTATATATTTTATTTAAAAATTTAAATTCATAAAATTTATATTTTTTTTACAAAATTGAAAAGATAAATAGGTTTAATGAAAGGGCAAAATTTTATTTTAACCCTTGAACTTCATTTAAAATTTTAATTATAGATTTTTTAAAAATCTAAAATAGTTTAAGGATAAATTTTTAATTTAACTTTCGTAGAATTTTCATTATTCAACGACAGAATTATTATATTTTTGAAAGAAAAAAAATTACGACATTTTAGTCCAAAACGCCGGTAATTCAACAATACCTAAGGAAGGGGTAATCACATTCCCAGTAATATACCCCAAAAAATCCACTGTTAGTAATAAAAGATTATCGGAAATGAGATTACCGGCCAACCAAACGGGGAATGAGGATTACATTCCTCTCGTAATACAACATTCCTTGAACCAAACCTAAGGTGGCGTTTGGTTCGCTGGAATGTTTCTGAGGGAATTAGAATCTGTCAGAAATTGGAATCCAATTCCATATTCTGTTTGGTTCGCAGACATATCAAATGAATTTGATTTCAGTAATGTAAAATGACAGAATTGTCCTTCTTGCTTTTTTGTTTTATTTTAGTTTGTTTTACAACTTACATGTAGCAATATATTATAAAAAATTAAAAAATATTAAATTTTCATTTTATTAATTGATTATTCATTTCAATAAATTATAAAAATCATGCTAATAAACATCATACGTTAATATTATCGCAATCAAAATATGTTAATAAGTTACCAAAAGATATATCAATATTTCGATACATTCCAATCGGAGTATGTTAATTAGTTACAAAAAAATATACCAAAAACTATTTTTATTCAATATATAAATTAGAAACCCGACCCGACCCGACACGAAATAATAAAAAAAATTATTTTTATTCAATAAAAACATTGACTTAATTGAAAAAAATTATATATAGAGGGGTATTATTGTAATTATTCCTAAATATATAAGGTAAAATTATATATATTTTTGGGGTCGGGTCCGGTTTTTTTCACTCTAAACCCGACCCGAATATGACACTTAAAAAAACCCGACCCGACCTGAATATCACACTTAAAAAACCTCGACCCAAACAAAATAAAGTTTCACCCGACCCGATCCGAATATATAAATTAGAAATCCGACCCGACCCAACCCGAAATAATAAAAAAAAATATTCAATAAAAACAGTGGCTTAATTGAAAAAAATTATATATAGAGGGGTATTATTATAATTATTCATAATTATATAAGTTAAAATTATATATATATTACGGTCGGATATTTTTCACCCTAAACCCGAACTCGACCCGACCCTAATATCACATTTAAAAAAACTGACCCGACCTGATCAAAATAAAGTTTCACCCGACCCGACCCGAATATATGAATTAGAAACCCGACCCGACTTGAAATAATAAAAAATATTTTTATTCAATATATAAATAAGGTATCAAAAGATTGATGATGGTAGTATGATTAAATTTCAATTCCCTCCAACAAGGGAATTGAATTCCATCCATTTTTGGATGAAATTCATTTTTCCTCATTTGATGGAAAGTTGAAGCTATGAGAGATTTCAATTCCTTTCGAAAACTTGAACTAAACATAAGAAAATAGTAAAATTAGATTCTATTTCTCCTAATTTCAAGAGATTCATGTCAAACAAACGTCACCTAAAGGTCGTGTGCAGACCCACGGAACCGAGATGAGCACGCGTCGCAGATAAGGCGGTTAACTTGTTACTTCCTTTTAACTTCTTTGTTTTTCTTTTTCTCTGGGGAAACTGTTACCACCGAGAAACCAACCAGACAACCATGTCATCTTCCATCTGCCTATCCGTATTTCCAACTTCCAAAACCCTAGCTCCGGCACCATCCATTTCCAAGAGCTGCGGTTTCAGATGCTTTCTCGTCGTCTCCGTCTCCGTCTCCAAGGGCCATCAAAGGGCGATGGGGAAGAGGCTCCAGGTGATTTGTATGGCTCCCGAGGAGGAGAAATTGACTCGTCGCAATCCTCTCGAATTTCCCATTGTATGTTCTTTCTCTGTTTATTCTGCTGTTAGTAAATTCTAAACAACTGATGGTATTTATGTTGATCTCTGTGAATAAAAGGCTTGTGGGATTCTTATGAGATGAGTTTAATTTTATACAGTAATACTTAGTTGAGGTGGTTTGGTTTGATTGATGGGTACTGATTAGATAATTCAATCAATGGAATGAACATGCTGCTTTGATAAATATGGTATCTCTGGTTTGGTCATTTATTTTCTAAGACGGCGTGATCAAACATGACGACCTCGATCGGTTTACATGGCAGGAGTGGGAGAGGCCAAAACCTAGTCGTAAACCTGACATATTCCCTCAGTTCAGCCCTATGAAAACACCGTTACCCCCACCAATGCCATATGACCCTCCTGAAGAAGATGAAGAAGAGGAAGAAAAGAAAGAGGAAGAGGAGGAAGAGGAAGACCCCGACAAGGAAGAAGAATCCGATAATCCTCCGGAAAAGCAGTCCTGAGAAACAAAAGTGTTAGTATTTTGCTACTGCAATTTGTTGTATTAGATTTCCAGCTGCGATTACCACTTGCTGCTACTGCCTCATATATGGAGTACATATAGATGTCATAGTCATATATTTTAGATCATGTAGTTGGATGGTATCTTCATATTCGAGTTGAGGGGATTGTGCAGGCATCTAATATAGGGAAATTAGGTCCATCTTCCTGATTTAGAGTATTGTAGTTAACTAGTTTCTGATATGAAATATACTTCTAGTTGCTTTTAGGGAATGAGGTTCACCATTGCCAAATTCTTTAGATATTTTGAGTGCAATACTATAATGTAAGGGTTATGGAATTTTATGGATGAAATTCAATGAGATTGTACATAAAATGAATCTATGCTTTATAATTTAAACACAAATTTACTTCAACAACGTTGTCCATCAAAAAGACATTGTCCGAAGCCGTTTTTATCAAATTCGCGTTTACTCTACACCGTTTTGGCACTTATTGGATGACTGGTGTGTGTATATATAAATGCAATGCTCTCTTCCCTTATCACACCACCAGTCACTCCATCATTGTTAGGCATGACGAATCCCAGCCAGACCCAGGCAGTGAATTTCGCAGCCCCCAGAGGGTTTGCTGCCGCCTTCCAAGCTGATTGCAAAGAAACTTTCTTCCCCGATGACCCCTTCCATAAGTTGAAACATGAAAAGCCTTTGCGCAAACTCGAGAAAACAATCCAATACTTTATCCCCTTGTTTGAATGGTTACCCGACTATAATCTACGTCTGTTCAGATACGATTTACTAGCCGGTATCACCATTACCACCCTCTCAATCCCTCAAGGCATTAGCTACGCCAAATTCGCTAATATCCCTCCCATCTACGGCCTCTGTTAGTATTTTTTTTTCCATTTTCAGTTTCATTATAAAACCGCTCCGTTTAAACGTTTCTGAGAGAATGAAGTGTTGGATGCAGATTCGAGCTTTATACCGCCTTTAGTTTACGCCATTTTCTGGAGTTCAAAGCATCTCGCAGTAGGGACAGTGGCGGCGTGTGCACTGCTTGTATCTGAAACCATCAGAACTAAAGCATCACTGAAAGATAACCCCACATTGTATCTTCACTTGATTTTCACATTCACTTTCTTCACCGGGATTTTCCAGACTGCTTTAGGCTTTCTGAGGTTAACACATGACAAGTCCATAACCAGTCATCAATACTACTTGATTTCATTCTTTCAGTCCTTCATTTTGTTGGGTTTTCGGGCTGGGAATTTTGGTTGATTTCTTATCACATTCTACCATCACTGGTTTCATGAGAGGGACGGCCATAATAATCTGCCTCCAACAACTGAAAGGTATATTCGGTGTAAAACATTTCACTACTCACACCGATGTTGTGTCCGTTCTTCAAGCAGTTTTTCGCCACAGGGACGAGGTTGGTGATATCAGATAACATTGGTTTCAACGACATTAAATTCTATTAAGTCGGCTATTAATTACACCATGCTTGCTTGAAAATTCTAATAAATTTTGAACTGATATTTGAGAGAGCAGTGGAGGTGGCAAAGTGCTGTGGTTGGTGTCATCTTCCTTGTTTTCCTCCAATTCACTCGATACCTGGTGAGCTTGCCCATTCCTATTAAGGAAAGAAGTGATGATTTATTTTTATCTTTATATTGACTTGTATATCTCATCGTTATCATCTGATGTAATGCTGAGTCACAAAATAAATCAAATATCAAAGATTGTGACACAATTATAGTATGAAGTAAGAATACCATATGATGATCAATTACCATATGTGAATTCACAAAGATAGTCGAATCATTTATATAAAAAAAAATAGCCATATTAATTGCCATGTATTTCCAGAGACAAAAGAGACCAACACTGTTCTGGGTGTCAGCTATTGGTCCAATGGTGGTTGTCTTGGTTGGTTATATTTTTGCATTTTTTGCCCATGCAGAGAAACATGGAATCGACATCGTAAGTTCGTCTTTATAATTATTTTCTTTTTTTTCCCAAACCACAGATTGATCTTTGTGGGGAATTAGCCTTTGGTTATTGGGGTATCAGGTTGGTGACTTGAAGGGATTGAATGCTCCCTCAATTCAATACTTGAACTTCGATCCCCAATACCTTCCTGTAACTGTGCGTGCCGGTATTGTCATCGGTCTTACTGCAATGACTGTAAGAATCCCAACCATTTCATCATTCAATATATATGAAGCTGTGAAAACCAGATAATTGAATCATCGTTAAAATGAAACTTGCAGGAAGGGATGGCAATAGGACGAAGTTTTGCCGTAATGAAAAATGAACAAACTGATGGGAACACGGAAATGATAGCTTTTGGTTTCATGAACATTATCGGATCTTTCACTATATGCTACTTGACAACCGGTATGTTTAATTTATTTCAGGGTTTTTTATGAATGGATTATATAAGAACATTCTGATGTTTTTAGATGTTCGAAACGGCAGGGCCGTTCTCGAAAACAGCAGTGAATTTCAATGCCGGGTGCAGGACAGCAATGTCAAATGTCATAATGGGGCTTTGCATGATTCTAACACTCCTTTTCTTGGCTCCTCTCTTCAGTTACACACCTCTCGTTGCTCTATCCGCCATTATCATGTCTGCAATGCTCGGACTGATCAATTACAAGGAGATGATTCACCTCTTTAAAGTAGATAAATTCGACTTTGTCATCTGCATGACTGCTTTCCTAGGCGTCAGCTTCATTAGCATGGATGTCGGCCTCATGCTTTCCGTAAGAATTTCTTCCACTACCTAGTACTGTATGCTTCATGTTTTTGAAACCGAGTCAGTTAGTGTATTGTATCGTTTAAAATTTAAATTTTGAAAATCATAACTAAAGTTTAATTTTTGTTTCATTTTAGTACTCAATTCATTTTAGTACTCCTGTTCAAAATTTAACATTAAGTTTTGAAAAGAAAATAAAATTTTAGATATTAAAACGGAACAAAACTGAGTTTAGGTACTAAACGTGTTAAGTTTTTAACGGTGGGTACTAAAATGAAATGAAAACTAAATGATGGTATTATTTTGAACATATTAAAATTTTTAGGTACTAAATGCATAGTTTACTCTTTTTTTTATTGCAATTTGACAATTGCATTAGGAAGGTTGTTTGGTTTAGAGTTGATTGAACAACTTCAAACTACACGCTCTCAGCCTCCTACTTCCAAATGTGCAATTGTATACCACACACCATATTCCTGCTGTCATGCACTGATTTTCAGCTTCACCAACAATAATTAGTATAAACCTTTATTTTGATTTTATTTTCCTCAACTCCATAATTCAGGTCACTATTTATATTTCATACTAATCAGATATTCAAATTCGTAGAATAACTTCTCCAACGGCTAAATTCATTGTCATTGGAGAGGTCATGTTAGTAATGTTATCACATGTTCAATCATGCATTGCTACCGACCAATGTATATTATAGTGTGGTTGGTAGAAAGGAAGAGGCAGGTGCATTGAGGTGTGAACTGATACTTTCAAGCTCAACTAATTATATATATGTTTGGTGCACGAATTAATGTCTTCCGTGATAAAAAAAATTGTTGTTATTCTTTGAGGATTTGAGTTCTAACACCATAGATGATGTCAGGAGTGTAAACATTTAATATCAAAAGATTAAGAGTTTATATTTAAAAAAATATTAACTCGTATTTATCAGGATTAATAATGTATATTCACCAGTGTACATGCATGTTCCTTAATTCCCTTTTCTTTTGGGGTACTGGGTTTGCTGACAAAAAAATAAGTATTTTCAATTAAGCAACCCATCTTTTTAGATAAAGAGAAAGTGTGACAAATCATCTGATATTCTATGTGTTAAGCATGATTTGCACCAAGCACTAAACAATAACCGAAAGATAAAGATTCCAGTCACAGGGATTCTTTGACATCATTTTTCCCAACCTCTTTTTCAGATAATAATAATAGGTCGGGCAGGAAAAACACAAGCTTGCATTTGAGTTCTACCCTAGGATAGTCTAATTTAAGGTTAAGGAATAACAACAAAAATAGACACGACCAAAAATATTATAACAATTATAATATTTTCAATTAGACACAATCTAAATTATTATTTTTAAATATTTTTGTTTAAACTGAAAATGTCATGCAAAAAGTAACATAAACAAAAAATGTTACAAAAAAAATTCAACCGAAAAATATTTAAAAATTAATATTTTAGGTTACTTCTAATTAAAAATATTATAATTTTTATAATATTTTCGGTTGTGTATTATACTTATATATTTGCTGACAAATCTTTAACAGCATGGTTGGCAGGTAAAAGCATGGGGCTTATGATTGGGTAATCAATTGTTTCCGGTGCCTTTCTACTCGCTCAATTGATAAACCTCATTTATTTTGATTAACAGTGTCATTATCAGAGTAAAACTATTGAAAATAACCAAACATACCATTTTGGACTATTTACCTAAAATATCATTCTTCAAAAAACATTTCTCAAATTAATATTATTTTTAAATTAATTTTTGAATTAATATTTTATGTGTCACGTAATAAAAAATATGTTACGTAGGGATGTATTCGGTTTTGTTTGGTTTTTGAAAATGGAACCGAAATCAAAATCCAATGGTATAAAAATTACGATTTTTGGCTTGGATTGGGTCGGGTCGAGTCGGGTTTACGGTTTTTGACTGTTCACTATTTTTCAAATTCAATTTAAAAAAAAATTAAATTTAAAACTTAAATCGAGTGTAAATATATAAATTTAAATTTATAAAAAATTATTATTAGTTTTAACATTTTTTATTTAAATTTTTCTTATAATAAATTTAAAATGAATGTGTTTGGATACTTATTTTCTTTTATTTTTTAATTTGGTTCAAATAATTTCCATATAAAAAACCAAAACCAAACCGAATTAGTTATTTAATTTTAAAACCGAAACCAAATTGTAAATTAAAAAACCCTAATTATAATCGATTCAAATTGAATACTTATTTTCTCAATTTCATTACTCAACACTATCATTATGTCAAATGCGTTTTTGAAACTACACCCTATAATATAAATTGTATCTTTACGTAAGTGACATTACACATGTGTATATATATATATATATAATTCTCAATATTTTTTTCATGTTTGTCCTTACTATTTTTTAAATTAAGTTTTAATTAAAAATATTTAAAATAAATAATTTCAATACATTAAATCTTTAATGAATTTGAGGTGAAAAATCATTTGTTAATCTAAGTATTGATACTATATTATTTGTCTTATCTAGCATATTAATAAATGATTTAAAAATTAAAAATAAATTAAAATATTTTTAAAACTTGAGGATTAAATTTTATTTACAAGATCAAGGCAAAAATGCATGAGTTGTCTATGTACTTTTGAAAACAAATTAATATGGTATTCTAACTCATAAAATAAATCTAATGTGACTCTTTGACTAACGTTTTTTCGTCATTGATTGTTGCTGGCGTCATAGGTCACAATATTGATGAGATAGTTAATGGTGCTGACATACCATTCCAGGATGACACATGAACTAAATTAGTAATTCTAACATGACAAATAGACTATCATGTCAGTATGTGAACTGTCACGTCAATATCGTGAACTATTACGCCAGTATTGTAATGGTCAAAGACGAAAAACATTGGTCAAAAGACTATGTTGAATTTATTTTCTAAATTGAAAGGTCACATTTAAAACAAGAAAAATAATACAATGATCACATTAATTTATTTTTTGAAAAAATATAGAGACCTTTAATTTTTTTTTGCTAAAGATTAAAATCAAAACAACAAAATTTATAAACATTAAAGGTAATAATTACATACGATACGAGTCTTAACCCGCAAAGACTGGTACCCACAAGTTTGTAGCAGTGGCCCCATCGTCTGTTTCGGCGTAAGTTTAGGTTAATTGGTCCAATGTGATAGACCCGCCAATTTAGAGAATGTATTCGGTATTTATTTATTTTTAGTATAATCATTTATATTTAATCTATCAATCAACTAATTTAGATAGAATATTTCAGAGTCAAAGACGACTCTTCTAATCTAATTTGTTCCATTCATAATTACTAAAATTTGAACCTCTGATATTGTTTAAAGAATTTAGTATCTCATCCCACTAAACTAACTGATTGTTAGTTGTATTTGATATTTATTTAATTTGATTTTTTTCTTTTATTTATTTACTTAAAATATTTATTTCGCTACCGACGAAATGTAAATAAACAGACAAAAGACTGCATAAATCCTTAATTAAAGCATATTTTGACTCCGGAATTCGCGTACATATTCTTAACATTAATTAATTAATCTTCAGGAGTACCCCTAGATTCCTACTAAAATGATTGTTCTACGAAATTAAAAAACATATTTGATTTAAATGTATTATTTATTTTTTAAAATTGATGTTCTTTCACCGTTAAAAACATATATACTTATATGCATAAGTTTAATATATATATACTTATATGCATAAGTTTAATATATATATACTTATAAATATTTAAATTATTTTTATATAATTTAATAAAATAATATTTAATAAATTTAATATAATGATTATAATTAAGATTTATAATATAAAAATTATAATTAATATAAAAGTTAAATTTATTAATTTAATTACCATAACTATTAATTTATTTTTAACTTATAGAAAATAATTGTATTAAATATCATGGTTTATTATAAATTCAAAATCTTTCAATTTATCGATCTTACATTTTTTTCAATCGTAACTTATAAATAATGTAAATATCAAGTAAAGTAAATATCCGATCAATTCACTAACAAGTCGGATCATTTACACGTTGAGTCAATTACATGTTAGATCCATAACAGGTCGGGTAATACCAATTATTTATCAGGTTAATCTCAGATTTTGGTTCATATTAATCAGATACAGTTCGGGATCAATAATCATAGTTCAATTCAAGTTTAAGTTGTTCTCATATCATGTGTAGATCGAGTTTAAAACTATAATTTTTAAATCCAACTCTAATTCAGAATTCAAACTCAAATCAATATCGAATCAATACAACTCAAAGTACAAACAAATTTACCTCAAATAGATTTCAGTCAATTTTAGAAATTGAATCTAATTTTTACGTCCTTAATCTCTCAATTTCAAAGCCGCGCCCGCGTTGCAAAATGTGACGCGTGGGCCCCGTAAATGGTGGCCCGAACGGTCCCTTGATTGATGTCGTTTTCCTTTGCATTGAGCCACTTGATGCGGGTAAAATGCAGGGGACCACATGAATAAAAGAGGTAGTTACGTAAGTTGGATGCTTAAGCAATGATAGAATTCACGGTCATTATTATTAACATTGACGGAGCAGTACGTGTTTATTTTAAAATTTAAATTTTTATTTATTAATTATTATTTTATAGATAGTATTTACTTTGTAATTTTTTATGTATTCTTTAAAATTTAAATTTTATTCAATTAGTTACTTTTTTGTATGAAGTGCCCATTTTAAAATTTTATTTATAATTATTTGATTTTAAAATTTTTATATTATTAATATATATATTTACCTTAAAAATATTTTTAAAACCATAACCGATTATGTATATGGATTTCCCATCATGCCGTTGGGCACATCAGAATCATAAAACATGGTCGAAATAATCACAGGGTGCGGTGTCGAAACAATCAGAAAGTGTCAAAGTCCACCGTAACATGCAAAAGGTTCCGGTGAATTAGAGTTTGATTACGTGTCAAATAAAAGACCATCCATGTAAACGTTCATCCGACACAACTTGCCAAGTACTCTGCTTTACCATATATTTATATAATTATATTAGATAGGTTGAAAATTTCGGAATAGAAGTAAATGTATTGTACAAACGAAGAGAACAAGGCAGTAAAAGCGTGACATAAATAAAAAAAACTACACCACCACCAAAAGATTAAATTTTAAATGTTGACCATATGCCATTCATTGCCCACCACCAACGATTTACGAACCAATAACTCGTGAAATTTCTTCACTTTAATCTCGTGATGTAAACATGCTACCGGTCGGACATTTTGTGTTTGTGGCCGGAATATGGCTCCTCCACCGACAACCTTATAACAGCTCTTACATTATTCTGTTCTGTTGGCAACAATTATTGATTAGTTAATTAGCGTTTTTGGTAATATTTTGCTTAATGTTGTATGGATTTGTTCTTTTAGCTTTAGCTTTAGCTTTAGCTTGTTTGTGTGGGCTTCAATAAAGAATAAAGTCAGCCTTCCTAATGAGCTACCATTTTTTTCTTTATTAAAAAAGGAGGCTGAAAGGGAGAGTTTCTGGTGGGCATTGAGATGTGATTTAGCTGTCTTTTGGTGGATTATTTCTTTAAAAAAAATCCCCTTTCTCTCACGCGGACACGCTTCTCCAAAATACCCTATTAAAAGTTCATCTCTTTGTATCTCTCTCCTCAAACCCAATCTCTCTATCCACCATTTCTCTCTTCTTCCTTAGATCTCAAAGTGAACCCACATTGGGAACCCAGACTTTGCCAGAAGCAAGAGAGACTGAGGGGGAAAAAAAAACAAAGTGGCATTGGTTGAAGCAGATGCCTCACGTGAGATGAAGAAGAACAAGAGTAGTGTCAAGCTCCATTTTGCTCATATCTGGCTTCTCCTTTCACTCATTGTCGGTGTTTGTTCATGCGAGCAGCAGAATCCCATTTCAAGCCAAGGAGATCTCACTGAGAAAGAGGTGTCGTACATCAAGCAGCGGCAGCTTCTGTATTACAGGGATGAGTTTGGTGATAGAGGGGAGAATGTCACTGTCGACCCATCTCTTGTGTTTGAGAACCCCAGGCTCAGAAATGCTTATATAGCTTTACAAGCTTGGAAACAAGCTATACTCTCCGACCCTTCTAATCTCACCGGTGACTGGGTTGGATCTGGTGTTTGTGATTACAACGGGGTTTTCTGTGCTCCTGCGCCTGATAACAACAAGATCAGAACCGTTGCCGGCATTGATCTGAACCATGGTGATATTGCTGGCTACTTGCCGGAGGAGCTCGGGTTACTCACTGATCTTGCATTGTTTCACATCAACTCCAATCGCTTTTGCGGCACTGTTCCCCACAAGTTTATCAAACTGAAGTTGCTGTTCGAGCTGGATCTTAGCAACAATAGGTTTGCTGGTAAGTTCCCTGAAGTGGTTCTCAAGCTGCCTTCACTCAAGTTCTTGGATCTGAGGTTCAATGAGTTTGAAGGAACCGTACCCAAGGAACTGTTCGACAAGGACTTGGATGCCATTTTCATCAACCACAATCGCTTCAGGTTCAACATCCCAGACAACTTGGGCAACTCCCCTGTTTCTGTTATTGTCTTGGCTAACAACAGGTTCCATGGATGCGTGCCGTCCAGCCTTGGTAACATGACGGGTCTTGAAGAAATCATTCTCATGAACAATGGGTTGAGATCTTGTTTGCCGGACGAAATCGGTGCGCTTCGAAACTTGACTGTTTTCGATGTTAGCTTTAACGAACTGATGGGGCCTTTGCCGGATAAAATTGGGCAACTGGTGAGCCTCGAGCAGCTCAATGTAGCTCATAATATGCTGTCGGGGAAAATTTCGGCTAGTATTTGTCAGTTGCCGAAGCTGCAAAACTTCACATTCTCGTACAATTTCTTCACTGGAGAGCCGCCGGTTTGCTTGAGCTTGCGAGCTTTCGACGACAGAAGAAATTGCTTGGCTGCAAGACCTTTGCAAAGAAGCGCGGCTCAATGTAAGTCTTTCTTGTCTAGGTCAGTGGACTGCAGTTCGTTTAGATGCGCTCCTTTTGTTCCTTCATTGCCTCCCCCTCCTCCGCCTTCTCCCCCAGTGGTTTTGCCACTGCCACCTCCTCCACCGCCGCCGCCAATATACTCTCCCCCACCACCGGTTTACTCTCCACCTCCCCCACCACCACCAGTTTACTCACCTCCCCCACCACCACCCTCACCACCACCTCCAGTATACTCGCCTCCACCACCACCGCTCTCACCTCCTCCACCACCTCCACCTGTTCACTATCCACCGCCTCCACCATCACCTCCCCCGCCCTCACCACCACCACCTACTTATCCATCACCCCCACCACCATCACCTCCCCCGCCCTCACCTCTGCCGCCTACTTATCCATCACCATCACCACCGCCACCTTCAATCCCACCACCTACGCCTATATATTGTGTGAGGTCCCCACCTCCGCCTCCACCAAATTCACCACCACCACCTCCATTGTTTTCCCCGCTGCCGCCTGTTCATTACTACTATAGTTCCCCTCCCCCACCACTTTATTCACCTCCCCCTCCACCTCCGCATTCACCACCACCGCCAGTTTATCCATACTTATCGCCGCCACCTCCGCCTATTTATTCCCCGCCTCCTCCGGTTCACTCCCCACCACCACCTTCACCTCCACCATGTATAGAACCACCTCCACCTCCACCTCCACCCCCACCATGTGTAGAGTACTCGCCGCCACCACCATCGCCAACTCCCCCAGTTCATTACAAGCCGCCTCCGTCACCTTCACCACATCCACCCGTTGTAACATATTCCTCCCCACCACCCCCAGTTCATTACCATTCACCTCCACCACCACCGCCAATTATTTATGAAAGCCCGCCACCTCCGGCTCCTGTGTACGAGGGGCCATTGCCACCGGTAATTGGAGTATCATACGCTTCACCTCCTCCACCGCCTTTCTATTGATTCTTTTGAGAATTTCTCTTAACCTTCTACGCAAACCACAAAAAGAAAGTTCACAAAATTGTATTTGGCTATCATCAAAATTTCTCATTTCTCCTTCTTTGCACTTCATCATGACCAAAACAACTCTTCTTTTTCCTTGGGGAGCAATTCTCATCGCTCATTGAAGGAACTCCTGCAAAAAAGGTCTACCATTTTGGAAAACGAAAGAGTTGACATCTTGAATGCATGCTATTCGAAGGTGGTGGAAAGAAGATTGAAAGAGGAGAATTCTATATTCAGTTGAAATTCTTATGGATATTTGGAGTTGTTGAATAAAAATGGCAGAGAAAAAGAGATAGGTTGTAGAAAATGTGGTATGTATAGAGATGAATTTGAGAACCATAGTTTTCCAGGCTTACAAAGGCTGCAGCCGATGCTTCTGCTGCTAGTTTGTGGTTTTTTTACTGTTATTATTCTCTTCTCTTCCCCTTTTTCTGTTCTATATCATACTTTTGTTTTTGTTTTGCTATAATCCGATGAACACTTTACATGTATTCATTAATTTACAGAATTAAGTTATTCCTTTAATGTTCACCGTTTATCCTCCATTGTGATCATTGTGTTTTGGTTTATCATTTTCATGGCATTTTGATGAACAAGTTGGTTCCTTGATTAGATACTTAAGAAAGAATAGTTGATGTCTGAATGTTGAACCATCACCCTTGTTATGTTTTGACCCTGATAAACTACCAATTTTCAGCTGTTGAGCATTTATCAAGAAAGTTTAGGTTGGCTGTATAGTTCTAGCATTCTAGGGAAGAGGGGATTTGTTTAGGATCTCCATCTTGATGTCTGGGATTGATTTTCATCCACTTCGATGGAGGCGGCAGGTGCTAACCGAGATCTTTCGTGGACTTAAAATGGGCAACTTTCATCATTCGATTAATGTCCCTATGTGCAACCCCCTAATGGTTGGTTCCCTTTGACATTCGGAGTTTCGAGCCACAGATATCTTCACGCTCACGCCTTTTCTTCTAAGCCTTCTTTTAGAATATGGAATTTGAAATGTTCAACTCCCTCTATATGCGTTCCATGATTGGTGGTTAGTGCTGTTTGACTGTTGCCCTCGTTCTTCCACGCCAGCATAGCATTTTCTTGGGGTTTTTACTAGAACCTTTTCCAAGCATTCCCACTATGTATTCCTTTTCATTGCCCCGATTGGTATGGTTGAGCTGAGAGACCCATGGAATGTTTGACAACATTATCTCTCAATCAAAATCAGTTCAAAAAACACATCTTCCACCACAATTGAGTCCTTTATGAGAGGCAGAGGATTGCCCTGTTTTCGACAAACCTATATCTTATTATGCTGGGCTTCAACCGTGGCATCATTGCTATTTCTGCAACCCACCCCAACACCAGTTTCGTCCCTGCAAACATTCCCAATTGTTGTTTGTTCTTTACATGGTTCCTACGTTCATCATATAGTAATATTTATCTTCTATGATAACTCTCAACCTTTCGACATTGAACGCTCACACCCCTAAAATCTATGATATTTGAACCCGGGTCCTCAAGCAATAACAACAATTCCTTTACCACGGAGGTCACTTGGTTCGTGCGACTAAAGCATTAATCTCTCATTTTTAAATTGAGTAAAGGTCATGTGAGACTAACACATTTTTAAATAATTCGTCCCTTTCCTCCCACTAAAAGGAGCTATCATCACATGGACCAACCTGTTACATAATAGTCCCATTAATCTTTTAGAAAATAAAAAGATATATAATATATTCTACTGCCTACTACAGTAATATTCAAATATTCAATCATCCAAAAATATCTAGTCTCTTCTGAGTTCAGGGGGCAGCAATAATTCAATGCCGCCTGTCCCCATATTGAAAGAATGAAGATCAATACAAGCTTGCCAACAACTTCAACTCACTCACTGTTTTTGAATTATTACATCCATCCCATCTGATCTCCCTCTGAGGGAAAATTAAACTTGATTAATCAAATCAATGTTATCCTTAATCTCTGCATACACTTACACATATACATACATTTGTTGTTTGCGGTGATTGAAGATAAAGAGAGTCCTTTGTTTTGAGTTGCCTTTGCCTAGTCTGCCTTTGTTTTGAGAACTTTGTTGACTAGTGCTAACCCTAAGCAAGGCTTTGGCCTTGGGAGTGTTCATTTCATCTTCAATAGCTTCATTAGGTTCTGTCTAGCTTTTGCTTTTCCCAATAATATTTGACCTTTAGCTTTCCTTCTCTGTCTTAGTTTTTCCTCACATTTGGTTATGCAGCCATGTTTCAGTTTCCTAAGTGAGGGTCAAACAAAGTGCATTTTGTCTTTGTTGTGTTTGAACATCTGGGAGCAATGGGAAAACTCAGTTTTGGCATGCCTCCTGGAACTAGTGTTTAATGTTGCTTAAAATGAATGTCAGCTAGTCCCGTTAACAGCTGCTGTTATTGTTACCACCCCTCAGAAGCTAGCGTTTATTGATGTTGCCAAAGGAGTTCGCATGTTTTCAAAACTTAACGTTACCCCTTTATCTGTACAACCTAACCTCACTTTACAAATAAGCTGATGAATATCAGACAATGATTCTCTTTTATGCCTTTTAATCACTGAACTTTGAATCATTTCATACACTCTACTTGCTTAACATACATTTCTGAAAATATGGTTTGCAAGTTGTCAGAAGGTAAAACCTTTCTTCTTGCCTCATATGTTCAAATATTGTGCCATTGTTAATGTATGTAGGTGCCGTGTGTTGCTGTGGTAGAAAATATGTGCCACTTTGATATAGATGACAAACGCTACTACCCATTTGGTCGAGGCTCAGGCTCTCAGGCATGCACCATTTTCCAGAACTTAACTTTCATACCTAATAGATACTAACATAATTTATAGTGCTATACTCGGCTCATTATTGGCATGTCTTTTGTGCAAAAAATGAAGAAAAAAAAACTGCATAACTGATTGATCATTTCACCAGCTTTGCAGGTTTTCCAGAAGTTTGGGATCCCTCATCTGTTTGATCTTCCCATTAGACCAACTGTATGTCCTATGATTTCTGTTCGAGCTTGTCTAGTAAACTGTGATTTTCTGTTGCATGCTTGAAACTGATCCTGTTATTTGTCGGTTAGAAAACATCATTGCATTACCTCTTCCTCTGCACTTTCATGATGCATATCTAGTAAGCTTTTCCAGAATATAATATGTGCCAAACAGCCTTCTCTATGGTAGACAAATTTGCATTTAAGCATTTATTTTACCCTTAAGTTTTAATCTTATCAAGCAAGCATTAAGACCCTTATGTGCAAAGTTTACAGATTAATAGATAATATCATTGACGTGCTTCTTTTTAACCAAATCTTATTATTATTTACTAATAAGCATATAAAAAAGAATGTGTTGAATTTGCTGGAAATCCTACTCAAATTTATAGTTCATTATGTGCAATTCTGCATATAGTTAATTTGTGGCATTTCGACATGATTTTCTTCAGGCGGCCATTTCAAGGCGTTCAAGAGATGTACATAGTCAGAAATACAATGATGAGAATTCTTGCGGCAATGAGAAACCAACATGCGGGGGGTGGGGCACCGGGAATCACCACCATTCATGAAAAGAAATGGGCTGATGGCATTGTTTCATGGGATAGTGATACCATTTCTGCTGACCTTGCAAGCCTTGGAAAGGTATGGGGGCATTGTAGGAATTATCAAGAAGCTAATCAAACCCTTGGAAAAGGCCATTATAAATAATTGCTCCAATGATTTACAGAGAAGAGCAAAGCTAAAATCTTGCCAACTGAGATCGTAACCTTGTCTGAATGCAGGAGGCTATGCAAAGGAGAGTTCTTGCGTCCAAAGCTGCAGCAGAGGCATTGGAAGAGGCCATTGGTACTGAGTCTGTTGTAAGGAATTTAAGGTTAGGATCCATGCATATATATGCATGAAACATCAAGTGTGTTTAGCAATTAAATGAATAATGTGACAAACAACAAGTCTTTGTTTGGCTTCTCATATGGTCAGAAACTCAGATTTGTTACCTAGCATTAAATCATTATTCATGCATCATGTTTTGTTGTGTGCCTATTTTGTACGCCTTATATTTTCCAGCATGTTTTCTGAACTCTCCTCTAAATCAAAGGCTAGCAATCCTTTGCCCGCCATCGACAAATTTTTGACCATCTATGATGATGTTGTGAAGTATACTGGGATTGGTGAGGCAGTTGCAGCAGCCAACACTGAAAATGTCTCCATCGAGCAATCAAAGTCTGCTTCTTCTCTATGTGTTGAAGCTTCACTGGCTACTGATCTGGAGATAGTCTCCCTTCTAACCCCCCAAAACAATGAATCGCCATCAGCTCTGCAAACAAGTTTGTCACCTCATCTCATTTCACCCAAAAATCAACTCGAAGCTACTTCATATCACCCCAAATGATCATCAAAAGTGGGGAAAGATTTGACGATGACAAGAAGAGTTTTGCAAGGAGAAATGGAAGAAGAAGAGGCCGATGGCAAAAAGTAGACACCCCTCAAGGAGCCCTTCAAATTCTTGATACAGTGTTAAGGGAACTCATGTCTCAAAGGTAGCAATCTTATTTGTTTTAACTTGTTCTTCGGTTTTACTCTTGCCATTGGTTACTCTTTGATTAATTTGATGAGTGCAGGTGCTTCTCAGTTGGAAGGTGCCTCTATTCTCCAGATATAAGAAAACCAAAGGCATTAGGTGGTGGCCTAGAATAATGGCGTGGCTTTTACCAGACTATAAGGCCTACTCAGATGGGATTGTCACTGAATATTGGTAAAAACACCCTGCTAGACATTTTAATTTGATTGACTCGTTGCTTTATCAGCCGATTGTTACCACTAATATCGGATTTTGTGTCAGATATGTTAACGACTGCCTTCATCGAACCTCAGCCTGTAATTGATTTTCTTGCTCAAATTTTGGGTAAAGATGTTTGTTCAAGGCCAATGTCAGATGCAGATCGTGGTAAGGTATATTGTGGCTCTTGGTGGTCCCACTCTTTGATATGCTATTTATTATCACAATCGGCATTCTTGGAAAATCATACACAGGTCCTGTATTTTCCACATTTAAACACTGTAGTAAGTTTAAATCAATCCTTCGCCAAGACTTTGCAAACTAATCTTTTTGGCCATGTTCTATAGGTTAAAAAAGCACTTAGAGGTGTAAAAGTGGAAGTGACTCACAGAGTCACAAGAAATATCGAATTTCAGGCTTAACAACTCAGCCAACAAGGGAGCTAATGTTTGTCCATATATATTTCTTGAACTTTACTTCCAGACATTTTCCTGGAAAATTAACTTTTATGGTTTCCATTCATCAGTTTCCCACTCGACAAGCATATAAACGTGATATCAGTTGTTGAGTACTTTCAAGAGAAGTATGATATACCATTAGATATGCACACTTACCTTGCCTTCAAGTAGGAAAGGAGAAGAAGGTGAATTATTTGCCCATGGAGGTATGCATATTCCAGTTCTCTTT